ATTGATCTCAGTCTCTCACTTGACAAGAATTATTCATTCCATTTGCACATGTAGCAGGTCACCCCAGGTACAGGCAGAAACCGTAGAACTGAATGGATTCTGGTGCTACTGGTTGATTTCCTTCCTCATGGTGGCCTCCGTTCTCTCTAACTGTTGTTTTTTTTACTCTGTATAATTAATTTATTAATTATTAGTTCTTTCAGTGCCATGCTCAGTAATTTTTTTATTTTTAATTAAAATATAATTTTATGCCCAGCTGGCATGGCTCAGTAGTTGAGCATCAACCTATGAACCAGGAGGTCACAGTTTGACTCCCAGTCAGGGCACATTCCCAGGTTGCCAGCTGATCCCCAATAGGGGGTGTGCAGGAGGCAGCTGTCAATGATTCCCTCTCATCATTGATGTTTCTATCTCTCACTCCGTCTCCTTTTCCCTCTGAAATCAATAAAAATATATTTTTAAATTAAAAAATATATATAATTTTATATTTATTTTTATTTTTTATTAAATTTATTGTGTTAATGGGATTATATATAGGTTTCAAGTGTGCATCTTGTTAGCTGCTTCTTTTCTCCTTTTAAAGATTTAGCAGCTGAATATTATAAAGAGAGAAAAAATATTTTTTATTATTAATAATTGTTCACAATAATTGTTTTTATGTAGTCTTTCCAGTAGAGTCCAAACACATGTTTTATCGGACCTAAGTCATCTCCTGCTTTAAATTTTAGGCTCTCACCTTAAATTATATCTGACCTGTAGATTCCTAAAAATAAAAGAAAATGCCCTACAAATACAATTCTCATTCTACATATTTTCGGATAAAAATCTAAAATTCAGAGTCTGCACGTGTTGCTAGTATATTTAAAATACCCCAGCATGAAAGCTCATCAGTGTTTAGGAACCTGCTTGATTGGTTTTTTTTTATAAGTTTGTGTTTTAAAATTGCCCAAAATGTTAATGAATGAATTCAGGAGACTTGTGTCTTCAGAATGATGATCAGAACCTCAAAATGTAAACATCTAGCAAGGTATTGATTGTAAGAGACTTGGAAATAGACTGTCACACATGTTGTTTATTTTTCCCTAAATTATAGCATTATTATTGACACCACAGAAAGCAATAACTCCTTATGTTGTGATACCAGAATCTCGTATGACAAATGGCCTGACGTTTTCTAGGGCTCAGCAACAGGTAGGGAGTTTGTGCTGCTTCCTATCTCACGCTTCCCAACATTAACCTAAATTAAGTCCATTCTTTTAAAAGAATAACACCACCAGTTGTGCCAGTGGAAAGACAAAAGAACGTGGGACCCTGAGAGAATACGAGATGCTGTCCCTTACCTGATGATTTGTTATTTAAGACTGTTCTTCTCAGGAAGTCCTTTCTCCCAATATAGACCCACCCAGGTGTTCCGTTCCCCGCACCCTGGGGGCCAGTGGGCCTAAAGTTAGAAGAAATCAGTCTCTTTTTCCACCCACCCTCAATGCCAGTCACCTCTACATTTCTGGGAATAAGTGACAGCAGTGGGTCTAGTCTGTCAGTCAGCCACCAAATGTAGGCTTCTGAAGGACAGTGCTGGCCACTGTGGGTACTAAACAGCTCCCCTCCCTGAAACTTACCTCTGGTGGGGATAGCACACTATTTCATGCACTGAGCTGCTCACTGCAGGAGGTGGGGAGACCAGGATTCCCTCCGAGGAAGATGGATCAGGATCTCATGCAAAGGCCTCTCCTATCTGCAAATTCTGCTGGACCTTCTCTGCGGAGGTCCTCTCACCTACATCGTTCTAGTGTGAGAATCACTGCTGCTGCCGAAAGGTGTCCCTGAGGGGAGGGAGAGGCCCCTGTCAGCAGTTAAGAGGCAGGGGAAAGGCTGTGAGTTACTCTCCAGGATGTTGTAGCACATGCTCCTATACATGGGCTGCCACACGACTAGAGACAAAAATAAGTGGAAATACCACATAAATATATAATGTCTGTTATATGGGCTTTGAGAGTTGGTATTTAGTATCAGGGATCCTTAGACCCGAAGCCTGCTGGGCCCTCTGAAATACAGGGCTGTTAAATTACAGTAGTTCCCCTCCTATCACACACATACCAAGACCCCCAGTGGATGCCTGAAACTGAGGATAGTACAGAACCCCACATACACTGTTTCTTCTTATACATACCTACCTATTATAAAGTTTAATTTATAAATTAGGCACAGTAAGAGATTAATAATAACATGATGAAATAGAACAGTTGTAAAAATATACTATAATAAAAGTTATATGAATGTGATCAATCTCTCTCAAAATATGTTATTGTGCTATACTCCCCTTTCCACTTAAAGGAAGCACTTTACGGCTTCTCTTTGGCATATTTGCATTGCCAGCATTACTACTCTTGAGTTTTGATAAAATCAGGGTAACTGGAACACAAGCACCATGATGTTGCAACAGTTGATTGATAACCGAGATGACTACTAGGTGACTGGTGGGTGGGAGCGCCTACAGCATGCAGATACTGGGCAAAGGGATGATTAACGGGGGGAAGGCGGGGAGGACAGTGTGAGATTTCATCACCCTGCTCAGAATGGTGCACAGTTTAAAACTTATGAATTATTTATTTCTGGAACTTTTAATATTTTCAGACCATTGTTGACTGAGTAACTGAAACCACAGAAAGTGAAACCACTGATAAGGGGGCTACTATAGGTGAACATTAGATGAAGCCACAGGTGATGGTACCAGTCTTGTCCCTGGACTGGTGGGTAGGAAAGTGAGCAGAAAGTGATGAGAAATCTGCAGCTTTACCAAGTGAACTGGCCAAAAAAAAAAAAGTATGCCCCAATAGGCATTTATTGGGGTTCTAGGAAACTGGGAATGGGGGTGTCATATGCAGTAATTTTCTGGAGAGCCTGAGCTATTTCATTCCTAAATTGGGCTGAGACTAAGCCTGCAGATAGGACAAATGTTGAGGAACCTAACAGTCAAGAGCTAGGTCAGGAAGGCAGCAAGAAGGAAACACGAAGTGAAGACTGACAAATGCATACAGTCCCGAGTTATAAGGGCCACCAGACGAGGCATATCTGTGTTTATAGCTGAGGAGGTTACAGTTAGATCTGAGGAGGTGGGTCAGGAATGGAGCATAACTGAAAAAGCAGATACAGTCTGTTTATGACAAGCTCTTGGCTTGGAATTTAGTAAGGAGGAGCCAATAATTACAGCTATGCTAGTAGCAAGTTCCATTTGTTAACTCTATAGATTTTTTTAAAAATATTTTTATTGATTTTTAGAGAGAGAGGAAGGGAGAGGGAAAGAAAGAGAAGCATCCATGTGAGTGAAACATTGATCTGCCTCCTGCACGCCCCCTACTGGAGATTGAGCCCGAGTGCCCTGACAGGGAATCAAACCAGCAACCTTTCGGTGCACAGGCTGATGCCCAACCAACTGAGACACATTGGCCAGGGTACTTGATAGTTTTTCAAGTGTGGTTTACATATCATCCCATTCACTTCTGTCGAAGTTTATATGTATAGAAGGGATGTACTAGGTCTTAAAAACTCAACGTGACTTGCTCTGTCTCCTACTTCTTTTTTTTTTTTTTTTAATATATTTTATTGATTTTTCACAGAGAGGAAGGGAGAGAGACAGAGAGTCAGAAACATCGATGAGAGAGAAACATCGATCAGCCGCCTCCTGCACATCTCCCAGTGGGGATGTGCCCTCAACCCAGGTATATGCCCCCGACCGGAATCGAACCCGGGACCCCTCAGTCCTCAGGCCGACGCTCTATCCACTGAGCCAAACCAGTTTCGGCTGTCTCCTACTTCTGCTAAGTGGCTGTGCTCAGGCTTGAACTACACAGGTCATCTCCGTTCCACTGGGAAAGATCACTCAGGGGCTCTCATCACAGGAGTGGCAAGATTATGCACCTGCATAACTTTATTTTCTAGGTTCTCATGTGCAAATTAAACTTTACAGGTTTCCAAAATACTGTGTAAAATACCTTTTTACAAAAAATAATAGTAGTAATAATAGAGGCAGCAAAATTTACCAAGATCATGAAAGCAGGTTGATTCTGAGTACTAAATTGATTTACGGTTTCCTTTATTTGCTTTTAATTGCAGTGATAACATGCAGTGTAAACAAGGATATAATTTATTCAGGTACAGATAATTGGTACATGGTTTCTGTGTTGTTTTCTAACAAGTTGCCGATATGTATCTGTTATGCTTTAAACCTCTTTTGGTGTTCTTGAAACAACTGTAAGATGTGTATTGACAAATATGCATCTGTTTCTTCGGGGAGAATTTTCCATGTTGGAATGTTTTCCGGGCCTGAAGGCTGCCTTGCACATTTTAATCCAGGAGCACATGGTATTCACCTCTGTACCAGATGAAAGGGTGGGCGGCCACTGGAATTCTCTGGGTGCCTGGTAGGATGCCTTGCCTCTCTGCCTTAAGCGGCTAAGTGCCTTCTACAAGACAGGGACCAAATCTTTCTGGCTACTTTAAATGTGAATGTGACAAGAGGTGGAGCAGGACAGGAGTCAAGGTGGTCACTGAGTGTCACAAGCGGGCAGCCCCAGCAGGTTAGACACCCCTCTGTTCCTTCTTCAAATGTGTGCAGGTGACTGCTACTGAATTCGGAACAGCAGACCCTCCGTCTTCCTAGTTTGGGGAATCTCTTGAGTAGAAAGTGATTGTGTCATAGGACATAGCAATTTCATAAACTAGAAAAAACGCTTGTCGGGGACTAGTGTAAAGCCACTAAACTCACTTCCTCGGCGGGCTGAGAGGGAGCCGAGCTGCAGGTTCTGGAGGCGAAGAGTGAGTGTTCTGGCTCCTGCTTCAGCAGCTTCTCGTGTTCAGGGCCAGTGGGGATGTGCTCCAACTCTTTTACAGTCATATCTGGTCCCGCTGGAGACCTAAAAGTCATTACAATAAAAATGTTTCTGTGTCACTCTGTCCTTGAAATCGCACTGCCATTTAATTCACACTTACGTTTGTTGCAGAGAAAGCAGCGGCTGCCAACATAGACGAGGTGCAGAAGTCAGACGTGTCATCCACGGGGCAGGGTGTCATCGACAAGGATGCGCTGGGGCCCATGATGCTGGAGGTAGCACACCTCGATTGGTTCTGTAGTTTACAATGTTGTCCATCTTTTCACATGATTACATTCGTTTTCAGGTGAACCTAATTTAAGGATAATGCAGTTAATTTTCACTCCTGAGATCGAAGTACTGCTTACCTCTTGGGTTTATTAACATGTCTCTCTCTCTTCTGGCTCCTGATTCCAGCAGATCTACATTTCAAATGAATGATCTAGAATGAAACTGACTAGACCAGAATATAAATTAACAGGCTTTCACTGCCAGTTGAGCATTCATTTTGGAAAATCATGTTCACAAGTCCTGTTAAATTCTGATATATTTCAGTTTGAAATTTTCCCCAAATTCTTAGATTTTATGTATGTCATATACATATACCTTACAGGTTAAAATTTGAGTGCCAGAAAAAGGTTTATGCTTTCTATTTAGGCAATTTCAAACTTGTTTATCTCATAAAGATAAAAACTGAATAGGCAGAACTTTTCAGATAAGGATCACAATTGTAATGGTTGGTCCTAACTGCTTGCTCTTTATTAACTTGAGGGAGTTTTATGATCAGACTGCTGTCTAGAATTTGTAAAGTCCAGCTTTCCTATTTTATTAACTAGCACAGTATTAAACACCCAGTACTGTGCTGTACCTATTCCAGAATTAAATTCAAGAATTTAATTTAGGCTATAGTAAGATGAGGGGGAAATGCAGCAAACATATCACAAGAAGCAGAGGGGCCCTGAGACATAAATTATGTCAGTTCTCAGGATAATTCCCTCTGCTGATAGGATGAGATTGGAAAGTGCCACATGCCCAGAAGCTTTGCAGCAGCCACATACATATAAGAAATTGGGATTTTTAATGCAAAGATAACCAGTAATCACTCCTTTTTTTTCAATTGGTTCATAAGATGATTTTTACTTTTAGAAAATTGAATTCTGTGAATATCTACCATATAATTGGAAGGTGGGGGGTGGGCACAGAAAAAATATATATAAGGTTGTCTGATGCAGTCTTTGTAGTATTTAGAAATGACTAAGTTCATTCTCTGGGGCCGGACCTGCTGCCAAAAGACTCTAAATGACCCATGTTGGCCCTTGCTTGTTTCTCTTGATTCACGGGCTTGAAATCCTCCAACTACAATTTTCAGGGAAAAAGCAAAAACATTGAACCTGCTTTTCCAGAGTCAACAGGCAAGGAAAGGCCAGAGAGCGGCTTCCCACTTCGTTCTTAGAAGCAAATAAGAAAATTCTAGGTGTACTGTTTAGAATTAGACGAAAGAAAGGAGATAACTTCTGTGAAAAACATCTTGGATTACAAATAAAATTGATTTGGAAATTATAGTAATCCAAGTTATTATAATTAGGAAACTTTCATATGTCTGTGTTTATTCTTTATATCAGAAGACAAAAATTAAGGTAGGGTGGGAACTCCTGGGAAAATTTCTGAGCTGCTAAAAAGAAATGCTTAGAGTAACCACAAGGCTGTGACTCAGACCCTTTGAGAGCGCCTTCATTAAGTGTAGAAATCAGATTGCTAGATGTCCGTGGGCCTTATCTCATAAAAGTGAACCACATTTTTGCTGTTTCAAAATAGTCTTCTGAAATCCAGTGCACTGAGCAAATCCCAGTGTGGCTGGGCGTTACTGCTGAATCTGTTTGAGAGGTAATGCTTGAATCTGGTGACTTAGCATTTGGATCTCAGTCTTCATCTCTGTTAGCGTGTCATTATAATTTAAACAGAGAAAACTTGTTCTTGTCGAGCTGTTCCTAGGCACAGATGCACACTCATGCTTACATCATAGCGTAGTGGTTGCTAGGCAACAAAACCCAATGTCAGCTTTTTTCATCAGAGCATTTCGTAGTGAGCTTTTAAAAACAACACAGTTTTACAAGATGAAACATTTTCCTCTTTCAGTTATATTAAGCCACATATCAGTCTTTCTGCCAGAGTACAAAAGCAAAAGGAAGCTACACGCAATTTCGAAAGTGAACTCTACAGAATATAATTATGAAAATCCCTGATGAATTTGTATCTAAAGCGATGAGCTTAAAAGGACACTTGGTACATAAGTAATCAGCTGACTTCCTGTCCCCCCACACAGACACACATGGTTGTACACACACACAGGGTTTTCCAGGGTTGATGCCAACCTATTCTGGAAGGCCATTTACGTACAGTTTTTCTTTGCCCCAGCATATTGCTTATACCATTGGTAAAACCTGACAAAATTTTGAAGAAAAACGAAAAACCAAGTGGGGTTCATTTGGGGGTAGGGAGAGCCTTCTAGTAAGTTCTAATTTGAGAGAGCTCTTAGTTTTGTGATAAAAATTGAATTAAAGCTGGAATATTCTTAAAGAACACTCACAAAATATGAGCCTGTAAAATAATAACTTAAGGAAAAAACAAAACTAGGGGAAAAGTAAACATTGCCCCACCATACATACATACTATACGTGTATGTACATGTAATATTCGTGTTGAAAACAGTCGTAAACGCATAGCATGGAGAAAGTGTATGACAGCAACTGGGTAGACCAGGGGGTGCTTCTCCAGGGATGCCTATCAATATCAAGCCTTTTCTAGTCCTGATCACTCACCTGACAGAGCTCTGACAAGCAGGGCTCAGGAAGGGAAACTCACTGAGCTCCCAGCCTTGGCATCACTGAGGAGACACGCTGGGAAAGGGCCTGGGGTGAGCGCAGGGTAGAGCACTCTCACTGTGTCGTCATCCAGACACAGCTCTGGAGGCAGGCGCACCTGCACTAACTCCCGCCCGCCTGTCAGTTCCCTCCAGAGTTGTAATAGTAAAATGAGAGTGTGTTTAAGGCACAGGAAACATGCTCAATAGCTACCATTATTATCTTTTTTTTCTGAAATGATCCTAGATTCCTCATCTCCTTCCCTAATCTAGATTGGAATGACAAGGAAGACTAAGGCTATGTACCCATTACAGGAAAAATGCTACTGTTATCTAGATGATGTAGGAGCCTGCATCCCGACGGACCAGTTAACTTTCAGTTCTCACTATCACAAACCAGAGCCTCACGTCTCAGGACAGTGCTAGCCACATCTATGCCTAAGGTTCCAACAAAGACTGGTTTGTCATATCAGAGAGATTTCTCAGACTTTGTCCCCATATATGTCAAACAGTAAAAGACTGATGTTTCTCCAAAGGTCTGAGATCATCTGCAGTTCTTTCCATTTAAACCAGGTAGCTTTAAAGGTAGTAAAATTGGGGGTTGTGGTGATTCTTGGCATTTATCCTTAAATTGGGGGGGAATTATCAGTGACCCCTTCCCTTGTATTGGGAGACTGTACAACATTACTTTGTATTGGGTTGGTCACAAACTTGTTGTTGGCCCTCTGGAATAGGGCCACCTCATTTTGAAAATACAGATAAATACCTGTAGTTTTACTTGGCAATAATTACTCCTGGTAAATTACCGGAGTTAGTGTTTGTCATTTAGTTTGTGACAAGCAACCTGATCTGGGCTCTCTCCCACCTACTAAGATGAAGTAATTTCACCAACAGAAAACGTGTTGTTTCTGAAAACTAGGAGAGGGCGAGAGAGATCGCTTTTCTAGCCATGTGTGAATTATATATTTCCCTTAAAGGATCATTCCCTTCTTAACAATTGCATATGGTTCTATGTGGTATCTTTTCTAACACAATCCATGTCTTTTCCCTCAGGCCCTTGATGGGTTCTTCTTTGTAGTGAACCTGGAAGGCAACGTTGTGTTTGTCTCAGAGAATGTGACACAGTACCTAAGGTATAACCAAGAGGAGCTGATGAACAAAAGTGTATATAGCATCCTGCATGTTGGGGACCACACTGAATTTGTCAAAAACCTGCTGCCAAAGTCTATAGGTAAAGGATTGTCTGCTGGGTCTGTCCTCACTCCCCTGCCCTCCCCCAGTGCACACATCGTCCTGGTTAGAGGGCTGAGAGAGAGCTGGAATGTGTCACCGGGGGGTCTAGAGGTGCTGTGTTAATATTGAAGCTTAGGAGCCATGGAGAAAAGGACATCGGCAGACATTGATCTTGATTGACCGTTTCAGTCCTATATTTAAAGTACATGAAAATAATTCCGCTGGCAAGTACTCATGGCAACTGTTTTCATGGGGTTTGTTTTGTTGTTGTTATTTAAGAAGCTGCCAAATTGCCTCCCACTCTACCCAGTGCCAGCGACTATGTTGTCCTTTTCTCCATGACTGTCTAAGAAGTAGAAGGTCATGAGAAGTTTGAGATTCAACCTATTTCAAGTCCGACTGGTGAAAAAAGTATGGACGTGGGTGCGCACAGCTTTCTAAAAGTAAGATGTTCAGAAACGAGTGGGTGTCGAGGGCTCGCATGCTCTCAGCCCCAGAGCTTCAAATGGGCTCTTCCATTTCACAGACGCAGCGGCCCAGCAGGTGTCTGATCAGGTACTGCCTCCTTAGCCCCTCCCTGTGCCCAACTCCTGGCTTCCTCACCTGCGCTGTTGGTGATCATTAAGGCCCATATTAAACTGGGTGGTCACAGCGTGGGCCCACTCTATTTGCTGCTCTGGAGTATGGCTGTTCCCGCTTACTAAGTGGTTCTTTTTTAAATATTCTCACTTAAACTGATGATGCTAAGAACATCTTCACGGAGAAAAAGAAGTGCATATTTTAAGAGAGAATAAGGTCAAGTCCTGAGTTAGCAAGTATTTCTGTTCTTTTTCTTAAGACTGTTTATATTAACTGGTTTTATCGCTACCACAGTAAATAGGCAAAGGTCTTTTCAAATTCCATTACAGCTGGCCTTTCCCTGATATGATAACCCCTTATTCAAAGTGACTTGCAAGAGTAATACAGAATATATGAATACTAGTGTGAGATTCTTCTATTATATTGTCTAGTAAATGGGATTTTTTTATTTCAAGTAACTAATATTTTCAAATCTCTTCAGTAATTTTATGACTTCCTCAAAGGACCTATACTTATTAATTCACTATTATTAATTCACTTGTCTAAGGAGTTTCTTGCCTTACTTTATATTGTATTTTTTTATACTTTCAAATTACTTATTAACCTGAGTTAATAAGAGCTCCTTTTCCTTTGATTACTCTGTGTAGTCCTCATTATGTAAATAAGCTTGTAAGAATGCTGGTGATGAAATTGACTTCTCAAATGTCTGCATCGACATATAAAGTTAGCTCTGGTTCCTTCTGTAATTCTAAAATGGTTTCTTGCCGTTAACTTGATAATTGCCTCTTTTCTCTAGCATGCGTTTCCTTTTTTACTCCTTTACAGCCCAGTGGCTGTAGGATTAACATTGCGTTCGCCGAAACACCCATGACATCTAGTTGGCCCGTTCAGTGCTTTCTAACCAGTGACTTTTTCTTTTTAAATATATTATTACTGATTTCAGAGAGGAAGGGAGAGGGAGATAGAAACATCAGTAATGAGAGAGAATCAGTGATTGGCTGCCTTCTGCACAACCCCTACTGGGGATCAAGCCCCAACCAAACCTGGGGATTGAACTGTGACTTCCTGGTTCATAGGTTGATGCTCCACCACTGAGCCATGCTGGCTGGCTAAAAGTGAACCAGGTTTTGGATTCAATCCCCCATCAGGGTACATACAGGAGGTGACCTATGGATGTTTCTCTCTCACATAGATGTTTATCTCTCTCTCCCTCTCCCTTTCTCTCTCTAAAATCAATTTTTTAAAAATTTTAATGCGTGCTGTAGTTGGTGCCACTTACAGATTTTTGAGTAGGGGCAACATGTAAAATTGGAATGGAAATAGATTCAAATAAATTTCCAAGAAATCAGAGTTTGAAAAACCTCAAAATGGAGAACTATAGTATTCTGTTAATAAATAATCAAGATCTGAACTTGAAGGGAAGGGTAAAAAGACATTCTGAAAATTCCTAGAATTTTCCCAAGTTGAAACATTCACCCAAGAATGTTTCCCCTCCAGATTATGAAATTACAATAGAAAATGATAAGCGCTATATAAAAATAAAATGACTCTGTGCTTCCTGTATATTTTGATAATTTGGCAGTGGTGAGTCTCACGTTGGTTTCTTTATAATTTCGGATTTCTTTGCCTTGCTCAGTGAACGGGGGATCTTGGTCTGGCGAACCTCCCAGGCGCAACAGCCATACGTTCAATTGTCGGATGCTGGTGAAACCTTTGCCTGAGTCTGAAGAGGAAGGTCATGATAACCAGGAAGCACATCAAAAATACGAAACTATGCAGTGCTTTGCTGTCTCTCAACCAAAGTCCATCAAGGAAGAAGGAGAAGGTAGGATGAAATCTCTCGTATATTTTATATATTCGTGTATTTATACTGCTTCTTCCACACTTAATAATATAAAATTAGTGGCCACACAAAGAAAAATTTAGAGATGTCTTTTTTGTTTGTTTTTTCCACCTACTTAAGAATTTTTATGATAAATTTTATTTGTAAGTCTTTAGAACAACTCAATAGACTTTTCTGCAGTGACGGCATTGTTTTGTACCATCAGTGTCCAGCATAGCAGCCACTAACTACATGTGGCTATTGAGCATTTGAAATGCGATTGGGAGACTGAGTTTTCTGTTTTATTAAATTTACATTAAATAGCTAGGCGTGGCTAATGGCTGCCCTGTTAGTGGCTGAACCTCTGGGGGAGCCTGGACTCCTGGGATGAGCTGCTGCGAGCTGTGAGCCACAGCCTAGAAAAGTGCACATGGTACAGAGCGTTTTCATGTACAGTGGACCCTTGAACCATTCGGTGGTTGAGGCGCTAATCCCTGCATCATCAAAATCCCACGTATAACTTTCGACTTTCCAAAAACAGTTTTAATTAATAGCCTAGTGTTGATCAGAAGCCTTACTGATAATAATCAATTAGCACATAATTGTATATTGCTTGGATTATATCCTTGCAATAAAGTGAGTTCGAGAAAAGAAAATGCTATTAAGAAAACCATAGGAAGAAAAAATAAGTTTACAGTACTATATGTATTTATTGAAAAAGAATCCATGTCTAAGTTGGGCCTGTGCAGGGGAAACCGGTGTTGTGCAAGGGTCAACTGTACTTCAAGGGATTAGTGGATTCCATATAGTTTATCCATGGATGCTGGGTCCACAGTGATACGTAAGAGAGGATACAGATGGGAGTGGGGAATGGAGGGGGTTTCAGACTCTAAGCTCTTAGGCTCTTCCCCTTAAAGAGAAGCTGGTGTATAGTATCCACCCCTGCACCCTCCAAGCAAACCATTCACAGCTGAGGGTCCCGCTGTAGTATGAGACATGCCTAGAGTGCGTTCTGCATGCGTCGAGAAGGGGGAGCTGAGGACCACGTGGGCAGAAGCATCATTCTTAGGCTCTACTGAGCTCTCTGAACAGGAGTTTGCTCTAGAATCAAGCGAAGTCAACAGTAGCAGTGTCAGAATGTAATAAAGATTACATGGCTGTGCCTGAACCATGATTGGCATTAAGTCTAGTTATTTAGTCCCTTTTAAAAAAATGTAGCCAAACCGGTTTGGCTCAGTGGATAGAGCATCGGCCTGCGGACTGAAAGGTCCCAGGTTCGATTCCGGTCAAGGGCATGTACCTCGGTTGCGGGCACATCTCCAGTAGGGGGTGTGCAGGAGGCGGCTAGTCGATGTTTCTCTCTCATCGATGTTTCTAACTCTCTATCCCTCTCTCTTCCTCTCTGTAAAAAATCAATAAAATATATTTTTTTTAAAAAAAAAAAAAATGTAAGTAATTTTTAATTTAAATTGTATTAGAAAGGAAGTAATAGAGCTGTCATAGACAATAATACATAGTTCTTCAAAATTAAGTTTATACATAGGTATGGAATGTCGAAAGATTTTATTCACTTGTATGTGACAGAGTAAGTACTGCTGATTCATCCATCTATGATAATATTAAAAAGCAGTATAAACAGATATAGCTGAGCTCATTTTTGTTTTGGTGTGGTATGTTTACATATTTTGGGACATTTGAAATCTGATTCTGGGTGCTAGCTCTCAGTATGAGTAGAGTTTCTGAGCCATGATGCGCTCAGGTTCAGGTCCTGGTTTCACCAAAGTTTTGCATGATGCTGAGCACGTTACTTAAACTTTATGGTTGGTTTTCTCCTCTGTTAAATGGAGGTAATGCTATTAGCAACCTCAAAGAGTTGTTAAGAGAGTTAAATGAATTGGCAGCGTATAAAAGCAGCGGGACAGATGTCCATCTCATAGTAAGTGCTCAGAAATGTAGTGTTTATTATCTTAAGGATGAGGATTATATTTAATTTGTGATGCCCGTTATTACAGGATATGTTTGAAGAAATTTTTTCCTAAATTTAAAGGTGAATAATCATAAATCCCTAACATAAGATACGAAGAGACTCTTTTTAACAACCTTTTACTCAGCATTTTTTGAAATTGAAAAGGGCTATGCCATGTGCTCTGCATATTACAAAGATGAATGAAACATTTCCTGTTCTCCAGAAGTGGACATAGATGCATAAAACAGTTGCAGTGGGTGTGGAGTAAACACTTAGCACCGGCTCTGTGGGAAACCAGCCACGGCCAAGATTCTGAACTTGGCACCCGCCGCATTTTCTAGGATTTGTTTTCCAATTCTGAGCTAGACCTAGTTCATATTCTTTATTTTAAATTGCATATTGCCATCATAGGGTTATTTACATAGTTTAGTAGAAGGTATATCTAGTTTTCCTTGTTGTTGTAAACCTGAAACTCAAAAGGCAACCCCTGGCAAAGCAGCATGTCAGATTTTGGTTTTCATCATTTCTCTACTTTGTTATGAATTCAGCTGGTTGGTAGGGTCTGCCGTTTCATAAGGAAGGATTCCATTCTTCTCCGTCATTGGGTGGACGGTTTCAGGTTGCTAACGCTAGGACGGTGGATATTCTTTTATCACATGTATCGTGTGGCTTTAGCAGTTTATCCCCAGCTCCCCCGGCTCATCCTACACAGCTCACCCCTCCCCCTCCCCAGCTGCTTCCCACTTCAGTGGAGGAGAGCATAGAGCCGGTGAAAAGCAGAGGTACATGGCGTTTTGTCGCTCTCTCCCTTGTTGATTTACAAGCTGTGCTGTCATAAATACACTTGAGTTTGTTTGAATCACTGAAAGGCCTTATGTGATAACCCTAAGTGTCTTCGATTGAAGATTTGCAGTCCTGCTTGATTTGTGTGGCAAGGAGAGTCCCCATGAAGGAAAGACCGGTTCTTCCCTCATCAGAAAGTTTTACTACTCGCCAGGATCTCCAAGGTAAATTTTCTTTGCAAAGGAGACCAAAGAAATCATTTTAGATGCTTGCATATTTGTCATGCAAGGAACGTGCTTAGACGGTGGCAGACGCTGGGACCCGTGGCTGCTGGGTAGACTCACTGAGGAGCTGGAGGACGGGCCAGGGAGGGACAATTATTTTCACTGTCTACCCTGTTAGTCCATGTACTACTGTAAATAAATAAATTTTCATCGTTTAAAATTTTAATTGTTTCCGTAGTAGTGGGTCAGCACGTAGGTATAATGCTTGCTGTATTCACCAGGCAAGATCACATCACTGGACACGAGCACCATGCGGGCCGCCATGAAGCCCGGCTGGGAGGACCTGGTGAGGAGGTGCATTCAGAAGTTCCATGCCCAGCACGAGGGGGAGTCTCTGTCTTACGCCAAGAGGCATCACCATGAAGGTAAGAGTCTCCAAAGGAGAGTTTTCTTGAACTTGATTTTGCTAAACTGCTATTTCCTGCGGGAGCTTTCTCTGAAGCTCACCTCGAAGACTTGGGTCTTGCTACTCTTTGTGTCTGTGTGTGCCATGCCCAGAAAGCCCTGCCTTCTGAAGGAAGTTTTCACGGGGGCGCCATAGGACAGGAAAGTGGGATGAGGGACATAGACTTGGACATGATGATTTCACTGAACAGATGAAAGGAAAGGGAAAGAGTTCGTTGTCTTTGATTCTAAGACTTCTAGATGTATAAGACAATAAGGTACCATCTAATATCAAAAGAAATGTCTTAATCGTAAGGAGGAAAGAGGAATGAAGTGAAATTTGTGAATTTTTTATTGAAGTGACTAGCCCTCCTTCCGGATGCTGATCACTGAAGGCTACCCAGATGTTTCTGGAAGGGTCAGAAAGATGAGGTGGCTTGCCTAAGATCATAAATTAATTAATAGGACAACTGGAACTAAACCCAAGACTTCAGTCATGTTTCAGTGCTAATCGCTGCCCTCATTGAGCACCTGATCTTGTCTGGCACTGTCCGTTATTGTCCCGTTATCTCACGGGCCCGCTGTGAAGCAGGCACTGTGACTCCTGCTGCAGACAGCAGCTGGCACAGGTGAGGTGGCGGCTCCTGGGCAAGTGGTAAGTGTGGGCACTGGGCGTTCATCTGGCCCATCCTGCCCGTTACTCCACTGTGCTGCCCCCAGAGTTCTTCCACAGGATTCCTTTTCCTCAAGGGCTTCCTGGTTGTTTGTTAAATTGATGCGAACAAAGGAGAACTTTGTCCTCTTTGTGGGCACCTATGTCCACAGCTGGGGGCCAGGCTGCTTGTGAGGACAGGGGGCAGGGCAGGGTGCCTCGCCACTCAATTTGGCAAGTTGTCTGCAGTTTTGCAGAGAAAAGTTGTAACTCATTATTGAAAATAGAGTTTTAGTTTGGCATCCTCCTTTTCATGGGCATCCGCAACCTTGGCATTTACCAGTAGTGTTTATATGTTTAAACTTGATGCTCTTAAGCTCGCTGATGAAACGGGCAAATCATAGCAAATGACCTCTCTTCTTTCCCTTAGCTTTTCCTCATCCTATTTATCCAAAAATAAGAGGAAGTAAAAAAGCCATATTTGATAGGAATCAATGCCATTTCACCAGATCTGGTTTAAAATAAAAAGAATAGTAACAGCAAAAAATGAGCGCTCACCATTAGCAAGCACGTCCTTGGGCCCTGGGTAGCAATGTCCTACATTTAATTTCTGTGGCTTCCTGATTCCTCACAAGGGTTTAGAAGATATATTCGGCACTCTGCTAGGTTTCATTAGCTGGGACCCACTGAAAGGAAACTCTGAAATACATGAAATACATTTTATCTAAATGTACAAAGTAGGTAAGATCAAGGGTAATCATTTGCATCGAGTAAAAATCTACTGGAGGGCTTTGTTTAAATGGAGAGCTTCCTAAATGCTTCATGTGCACGCTAACACTGGTCTTCTTAGTAAACACGTTTGATGTAGATCAAATGGAAATGGAAACTCTTAAAGGATCACATCCAAGGTCAGATTAAATTCTGAAATGATAAGCCATTGGAAATATGAATCTTACTATGAAAATTGTATTTGTGCTACCTTTTAGGAACATACTTACGTAGAAGGCAAGGTACACATATGAACAGTAGTTCATTTCCAGTGGGACCACTTCAGAGTAATGCACCTGACAATTGAGGCCAGAATGTAATACCTCAATACTGCAGGTAGCAAACTGCAGAGGGGGTTTCTTTAGGGAAAGTGCTCAAAGTGAGATTTTACCACGAAATCAGATCTACAGCATGTGTCGGCCTCTCTCTTCCTCTCTTCATCCTTGTGGAATGGTGAATGTTATTGGTCACTTTGGGGCTTTTCACCCACAAAATGTATGCTGAGGGTTACTTGGTAAAAAACAGATATGGTCTTCTTAAAATGGCTTAAGAGGTAACTAAATTATATGGCTACTCTTTCTGAATCGAGATATTCTTTTTTTCATATGCATTATTTGACAGTTTTAAAATACAGTTGTATTAAAAGATGAGCCATGAAGTTTTATTTTAAGAGAAATTATTTTAACCTAGTTGATCTGTGTTGTATTTTCTGCCAGTGTCTTGAAAAAGAAACATCTGATTCTTTATAAAGATCTTAAACCAATTCCATGTCACTAAGATTTGTACTTTTGTTGTTTTGGTTTTCTATTTGGCCTTTTTTTTTTTTCCTTTGAAAAGATTTTCTGGTTGTTTATCTTTTACTTCCTGTTGATTTAACCACAGAAATAATGCTTCTTACACACTGAGAAACAGAATTGGGGAATAGTAGAGTGAAATGATGAGTTGAACAGTATGTAACTGAGATGAATATTCAGGGAATATATTTACTGTCCTAAATTTTACTATATTTGTATTAGCGTAAAGGGACATAAAAGGCAGGTCGTACACCTAAGAGGTATCATGTTTCTACATTGTTTTCTAACATTTTAAACCAATAATTTTAAAAGCTTGTTTTGAGCTAATAAATTGTTTGTTTACACTCTTTCAATGTCATGAAATATTACTTAAACTCTAACTGCTGGTCGGAAAATATTAAACATAGTGCAGTTTATTACTGGGATTATGTCTTGTCCCGCCCCCACCCCCTGTGCTTCCTTAACGTGTGTTCTGTTTCCTTGCTCGCCCGCAGTGCTGAGACAAGGGTTGGCTTTCAGTCAGATCTACCGTTTCTCCTTGTCCGACGGCACTCTTGTTGCTGCACAAACGAAAAGCAAGCTCATCCGTTCTCAGACTACTAATGAGCCTCAGCTTGTCATATCTTTGCATATGCTTCACAGGTAAGCTTAGTTCTAAGAAGTTGTCTTCCCTTCCCGGGTTAAAGGAGATGTTAGAAAAGTCACAAGTCATCCCAGACCCTTTCAGATTTGTTAGACATGTCTGCTGATCAGCCCAGGTGTGTAAAATATAAAGTCAAATTGCTGTTAACCAAAAGACATTGCATTATACCAGCTAAGTAGGGCTATGTCTAGCCTGAGTACTAGTGGGTATTTAAACCGGCGGGAAGAACACAGGCGCACCGGACTTTGCTCCGCCGTGACTGCCTGCTACATCGGAGAAGGGAAACTGACCAGGTCCCAGGGACACCCCCGGGCGGGAATACTGAAGCCACTAGCATGATTTCTGTTCCTACGTGTTTAAACCTAAAACTGTCCAATATATACACGTGTAAGGAAGATTTTAGATTTTTCTCAGGGTTAGATTCTTGACATTACACTTTAAATTAAAGGGTAATAAACATTTCCATAAGAAATGAAAGTAATGAAAACTAAACTAAACGTTGATTTAAAAAATAAATGTCATGAACCGTACTGTTTTAGAGCACAAATTTAGGAAAATGATTGCATTTCAAGTGCTATAAATATTTATGTACGTGCTATATAAAACTTTACGAGATATTATCAGAAGATATATAAAGTTGCTCTGGGAAAGAATCCCCTTTTATTGCATTTCTCAATTATTTACTTTCTTATTTTGGAAAAAAAAATAAAAATCAGGCAGCACTGTTTGCCAACTGTTAATAAATCTGACCTCAAACTGAAACAATTTGAAAGTGATTACAGATGTGCCAGATTTCACCCCCTAACTGAAAGCTGATGTTTGACAGTTTGTGAAACCTGTTTTGTTTGGGTTTGTGAACACATTTGGTAACTCACAAGTGACTGCCAAGGCTGTAAATTAAAGCTCATAGGGCTTGGAAAATCATCCAGCTCAGAAAACCTGCTTTTGGTCATTAGTGAGGCAGTGGGAGGGGTTATCTAGGAGTTGGGAAATCAGGTCACAAACTAAGGTCACTTTGAAGTCCCCTCCCATGCTATCTGTTTGGAGGCTCTTGCTTTGACATACAGGGGACCTGGGTGTGGGCTCTGTTTAAGTGACCTGATTCTAAACAGTTTTGGTAACTTTATTGGCTCTGGAACTTGTCGTGTTCCTAATAGTCAGGGGCAAGTTTTTCCCACTCAGTTTGCTGTTCATCTTGAGCCAATTCGTCCACATCAGAGCTCTCCAGACTTACAGATGTGTCTATTGTTAGGAATTGTGAGCTCTGGTAAATAACTGAAGGCAGCTATACTTGTGTGGGTCATTTCTGTAGGATTGTTCAAGTTCTCAGTTATTCATGGTAACTGAGAAAGATATATAATTAATTGGAACCCCTCTAATAACTACAGTTTCAGTGTGCTAGTAGTTAGATTCAAACACGCCCCTCCTCTGGAAAACCGCAGACATCTTAATGAGCTGACTGAAAAACATCCCTCTTGGTCCAACACTAAACATGTTCAGTCTTGCCCATAATTGCAGATTGTTTCATCAAAGTATTATCTTTCCTTTAAGTATAGCTCATTCTTTTAAAGAAAAGAGGCCATTTCATTTTTCAAAATTAATAACAACTTGCTAAGTGTTTTGCCTTTTATCTTATATTTTTTCCTCATTATACAGAGAGCAGAATGTGTGTTTAATGAATCCGGATCTGACTGGACAAGCAATGGGGAAGCCATTGAATCCAATTAGCTCCAGCAGCCCTGCCCATCAGGGCATGTGCAGCGCGAACCCAGGTCAGGACATGGCCCTTGGTAGCAATATGAATTTCCCCATAAACGGCCCCAAGGAGCAAATGAGCATGCCCATGGGCAGGTTTGGTGGTTCCGGGGGACTGAACCATGTGTCGGGCATGCAAGCCACCACTCCTCAGGGTAGTAACTATGCACTCAAAATGAACAGTCCCTCACAGAGCAGCCCTGGCATGAATCCAGGCCAGCCCACCTCCATGCTTTCACCGAGACATCGCATGAGCCCTGGGGTGGCTGGAAGCCCCCGAATCCCACCCAGCCAGTTTTCCCCTGCAGGAAGCTTGCATTCCCCCGTGGGAGTTTGCAGCAGCACAGGAAATAGCCATAGCTACACCAACAGTTCCCTCAACGCACTTCAGGCCCTCAGCGAGGGGCACGGGGTCTCTTTGGGGTCATCGTTGGCTTCGCCGGACCTAAAAATGGGCAATTTGCAAAACTCCCCAGTGAATATGAATCCTCCCCCACTCGGCAAGATGGGGAGCTTGGACTCCAAAGACTGCTTTGGGCTGTATGGGGAGCCCCCTGAAGGCCCAGCTGGCCAGGCAGAGAGCAGCTGCCATCCTGGAGAGCAAAAGGACACCAGTGAGGCCAGTGGACCCCAGGGTGTGAGCAGCGAGCGAGCTGACGGGCAGAACAGACTGCATGACAGCAAAGGACAGACCAAACTCCTCCAGCTGCTGACCACCAAATCCGACCAGATGGAGCCTTCGCCGCTGTCCAGCTCTTTGTCGGACACAAACAAGGACTCCGCGGGTAGCTTGCCCGGTTCCGGGTCGACACATGGGACCTCGCTCAAGGAGAAGCATAAGATTTTGCACAGACTCCTGCAGGACAGCAGTTCTCCTGTGGACTTGGCTAAGTTAACAGCAGAAGCCACAGGCAAAGAGCTGAGCCAGGAGGCCAACAGCACAGCTCCTGGTTCGGAGGTGACTGTGAAACAGGAGCCAGTGAGCCCCAAGAAGAAAGAGAATGCACTACTTCGCTATTTGCTGGATAAAGATGATACTAAAGACATTGGCTTACCGGAAATAACCCCCAAACTTGAGCGGCTGGACAGTAAGACGGACCCTGCCAGTAACACAAAGTTAATAGCTATGAAGACCGAGAAGGAGGAGATGAGCTTTGAGCCTAGTGACCAGGTAAGTTTTATAATGTATTCCCCAAGGCTACTAACCCATATCCATTAAGGATTTTCTCCACAGGGGCATTTTGACACCACAGGTGATGAGATAAAAATAAGTTTTCTCTAATTTTCTCACTTGATTGAAACAGTTCCAAATACTCTATCTAGTAATGAGTGACATTACCATAGGGCAGGGTTGACTGCCTGTTTTTGGAAAGGGCCAAATGGTAAATATTTCAGGCTTTGCAGGCTACACAGTCTGTGCAGTGCGGACACAGACACTGAACACAAGCGCTGTGCTGTGCTCCAGGCCTCGATACTCGAGTTTGACCCAATTGACATCCATTCTTAGCTCGTGGGCCCCACAAAAGCAGGCGGTGGCCCAAGGGGCCCGCAGGCCAGCTGTAGTTTGACGCCTGTTAGCAGACGATGCCGAAATTGGAAATAATCACTTCCTCAAAGTGGGGGCCTTGTCAGTACAGACTGAATTAAGTTATTTATTTATCTTTCTCATTTTAAGATCAGGGTTTGACTGGTTTTTCAAACCTAATGAAAATCATTGTAACTCTGTTCTCAACCAAAACTTCTGATTCACGCTAAAGAATTTCTTAGACCATCCGTATAAAAGGTATGTAAGGGCCAATGGATAGTAAGAAAGGAGAGGACAAGTTTGACTTGATGTTAGTAGAGCTGAGCCATCATATATAAATGCAAACCTCAAGTAATCAGTTGTGTTATCTGCTGTTCTTTTTTTTTAATTTTTTTTATTAATTAAATCTTTATTGTTAAGATTATTACATTTGTTCCTCTTTTTTCCCCCATAACTCCCCTCCACCCAGTTCCCACCCCATCCTCCTCCCTCCCTCCCCACCCACTGTCCTCATCCATAGGTGCACGATTTTTGTCCAGTCTCTTCCCACATCCCCCTCACCCCTTTCCCCCCCCAAGAATAGTCAGTCCACTCCCTTTCTATGCCCCTGATTCTATTATAATCACCAGTTCATTCTGTTCATCAGATTATTCACTTGATTTTTAGATTCACTTATTGATAGATATGTATTTGTTGTTCATAATTTGTATCTGTACCTTTTTCTTCTTCTTCCTCCTCTTCTTAAAGGATACCTTTCAGCATTTCATTTAATACTGGTTTGGTGGTGATGAACTCCTTTAGCTTTTTCTTGTCTGTGAAGCTCTTTATCTGACCTTCAATTTTGAATAATAGTTTTGCTGGGTAAAGTAATCTTGGTTGTAGATTCTTGGCATTCATCACTTTGAATATTTCTTGCCACTCCCTTCTGGCCTGCAAAGTTTCTGTTGAGAAGTCAGCTGACAGTCATATGGATACTCCCTTGTAGGTAACTGAGTTTCTTTCTCTTGCTGTTTTTAAGATTCTCTCTTTATCTTTTGCTCTTGGCATTTTAATGATGATGTGTCTTGGTGTGGTCCTCTTTGGATTCCTTTTGTTTGGGGTTCTCTGCGCTTCCTGGACTTGTAAGTCTATTTCTTTCACCAGGTAGGGGAAGTTTTCTGTCATTATTTCTTCAAATAGGTTTTCAATATCTTGCGCTCTCTCTCTTCTTCTGGCACCCCTATAATTCGGATGTTGGTATGCTTGAAGCTGTCCCAGAGGCTCCTTACACTATCTTCGTATTTTTGGATTCTTTTTTCATTTTGCTTTTCCGGTTGGGTGTTTTTTGCTTCTTCGTATTTCAAATTGTTGACTTGATTCTTGTGATCCTCTAGCCTGCTGTTGGGAATCTGTATAATATTCTTTATTTCAGGGTCTCATTAGTTTTCTTGTAGGTCTCATTAAGTTTATTGGCAGTTTCTAGAAAATTCTTGAAAAACCTTAAAAGTATGGTTTTGAACTCTATATCCAGTAGTTTGCTTTCCTCCATTTCTGTCATTTGTGTCCTTTTACTTTGTCTCCACATTTTTTATGATTCCCTGTGTTGATAGTGGTTTTCTGTGCTAAGTGTGCTCTAGGGCCCAGTGGTTCAGCCTCTCCAGTTACCTGAGGCGGACACTCTTGGTGCACCCCCTTGTGGTCTTTGTGCACAGTCTTGTTGTAGTTAAGCCTTGATGGTTGTAGGTATCACTGGGAGGAATTGACCTCCAGGCCAATTGGCTGTGAGAATCACCTGTGTCTATAGTGGGAGAACTTCTGTGCTGGAGAAACCCCTCCGGGGCAAGACTTGCTTCAATGGGGCTTTGGTGCTGAGTGTGTCCTTTATGGTTCCACGGAGCTGCAAACTGGATGGTCCCACTCTGACCTCTGGGTAGACTGGCTCCTGGATCTCTGGGGACGTGCTAATCTAGCCTTTGCCTAAGGCTATCCAGCAAAAGCCTCCCTGCAGGGCTTGGGCAGGGCGGATCCCACGGGACCAACAGGGCAGGGCTAGCAGTTATGGCTGCTCTCAGAGGCCCAGCTTCTCAGTGTCTCGGCAATTACTGCAAGCCCCTCTGAGAGAAAGCTGCCCTCGAGTTCCGACCGTTGCCAGACAGTCCCGCTTCTCCCGTATGAGTCTGGGTCCCCAGAGCCTCGCCCAGAACTGGAGCTCAGAGCCTGAGACTCCCTCCTGATTGAAAATGACAACCGCGCCCTCAGCCGCCAGCCCACTCCTTGTGCGCCTCTGTACCTTAGTATTTTACTTCCGCACTGCACCTCCTCTGAGTCTCGGTATGCTTTTCTCTTTCCTTCTAGTTGTAGAATTTCCACTCAGCCAGCCTTCCTGTGGTTCTGGATGATATCCGTTCGTCTTTTAGTTGTATTTTTGAAGTGGTTGTTCGAGGCAGCAAACTCCGGTGTTTACCTATGCCGCCATCTTGGTTTTTTCTCTGCTGTTCTTATCTGAAAATGTAAATCTTTGAAAAAATCCAGGATAGCTAAATGATAACTCAAAATCATTCCTGATAATACTCCGAGGACATAATGACATCACAAGGAAAGTGTAAATCATTTAATATTTTCTTTATTTAAAAAAAAGTTGCCGAAACCGGTTTGGCTCAGTGGATAGAGCGTCAGCCTGCGGACTGAAAGGTCCCAGGTTCGATTCCGGTCAAGGGCATGTACCTGGGTTGCGGGCATATCCCCAGTGGGAGATGTGCAGGAGGCAGCTGATCGATGTTTCTCTCTCATCGATGTTTCTAACTCTCTATCTCTCTCCCTTCCTCTCTGTAAAAAATCAATAAAATATATTAAAAAAATAAAGTTATTACTGACACAGTGGCTTGGCATAAGGTGTTTCCGACTGGGTTAATGAACCAAGACCCCACCCTGCTCTCTCCACTCTCCTCCAATCCCTAGCTCTGCCCTGGGCCTCAAGCCTTGTAAGATGTGAATGGTTAAGAAGAAAAGGAGCTACGTGGTCTTTTCTACTTAAAATGGTTCGCTAATTTGTCCTTGCCACTTGTTTTGTAAGTGGATCTGATGTGTGTCACTGTCTTCGGGGACGAGGTGTGCGTGGGGAGAGGAGAGGGCAGCACCCCTGCCATGTGTAGCCTTGAACCTGCTGAGTCAGCAGAAGCTGGTGCAGGCGGGTCTGGATGGAGAGCAGGATTCGGGGGAGTTGGGGCTGCACATGCTTGCAGCTGGGCTCTGTCCGAGTTTCTAAGCACTTGGCTTCCTTTATTTCTTTCACTTTGATGTCTTGACAGCTGCTACGCTTCCTGTGAGGCAGAGATGATTTTCAAGCCTCTGTGTCTTTCACAAGGCAAACAGCCTAAGAATATAAACCTTCTTGGTAATTAACCCTTAAACTTGGATGTTAGTGCAGAATTCTATATAGCAGCTATTTTGTAATGCAGTAAAATCATAAGGTGGGGAAACCGAGGGCTTCGTGGAAAGTTAATAGCAATATCTTACATAAAGTATGCTGTAAGACCATTCTGACAACTGTGGGTGTTTTAATCTTTTGGGGTTTACTGGATTAGAATATACAGAGCTAGCGGCAGTTCAGGATGGCAGGCACACATACTGTCACTCAAGTCTCTTGACACACGCTAGAGGGCAAGGTGACTCTCGAGGTCCACCTTAGCTCAGTAGCTCCGTGGTCGGCCCCTCCTTTTAGAAACACAGTTTGTTTCTGTCCCAGGCCTGAGGCCCTAGGACTTAGAGGGCCAGAGAAGAGGGACACTGCTTGGCATTTCTGTGTTTGGATATGATTACATTTAACTTCAGACAAAAAACTGACAAAAAGAAGTTCTTTAAAAAGTCCTTTTAGTTTCTAATTGTTTAGGAGAAACATTTTTCTAATCAAAATTGTCCCACCTAAGGAACAAAGCCCAGAGTGTTATCAGTACAAATTTTTTAGTATTTCAGTAGACCACAAGCCAATGTACACAAACACACACATCTACAGTATTTTTTCTTAATGAAACCTAGTCTGTGTCTCACCCCCTATCCCCTCCCATTTAAAACTCCACCAAAAAATACTGCTTCAGAGCACTTTTGACATCAAAAACATTGCAACTTGAAAAGAAAAGTTACCACAGGAAGTATGCATTACTTAAATTTAGATCAAAGTTAAAATGACTTAAAAAAAACCAACAGTGATTCTTTCTCTTCCTGCTCTCCTTCACTAATTCCAAACACAGATTATTTGTATCTCCTATTAAATACTGTACACATTTATTGGAGACTTTTCTTTGATTTCAAGGGAACACAAGTTTTTTATTTAGTGAGATAAACTGTTAGCAAACCTGAGTACGCAGTTAACTGTCTTGTTCTTTTGACTCAGCAAAGAGCCATCACCCGAGTGTGTGTTTAACCGATCACTAACTGATTAGGACAGGAAGCATTCCGGTGATGCTGTTTTACCTAAAATAGTCTTCTTTACTGGGCAGAGTATTCAAACATTTGTTTCTAGGCACTTCATAACCAACAGGAAGTAATGACAGCAAAATTTCCAGTTTGTTTACCAACTTTGAAGTTATATACTTATTTACACAAATGGAACTTATGTTCTTTCTAATGCTACTGGGCTACGTAGGATGAGGGTTTAGAAATAGTCTAAATATTTTTTCTTCTTGTATTTGGTTCCATTAAAATGGCAAACTATACCTTACACTGTAGTATTTCCCTTCAAATGTGGTAAGTTAGATTACCATGTTTTAATAATTTTATGTTATGCAACTATAGTAAAATTACACTTTTTATTTAAAATTTTGAAAAGATGTTTAGTAATTTATTAGAATACTTATGTTATTAAAATGCATGTGCTCTTTATGTTTGCTTCAGAGAACAAGTAATTTGACATGAAAAATTCATAAAACCAGAAAAATGAAAAATTAAAGAAAGCACGTTCAATTTTCATTTTGTAGAACTTGTATGAAAATCTTTCTGACTCATTTTCTGCCTGAAATAGTTTAAACTATTTCAATTGATGTGGCTAATTTGAGCATTCGAATAGATGCCTAAGCAAAACTTTGAAGTATCTTGGCAAAGCCTTATAAAGGAAGGCATCAATCTTTTTGTCTTGTGAAGAAATCATGCCTAAAAAGTGAAGAGGGGCTGACTAAAAGAACTTTGGATGAGAATTAAAGCTTACAAAAATTTTAGGGAAGGAGCCCGACTGGTATGGCTCAGTGATTGAGTGCCAACCAATGAACCAGATCATGGTTCAATTCCTGGTCAGGGCACATGCCTGGGTTTCAGGCTCCATCCCCACTAGGGCGTGTGCAGGAGGCAGCCGATCAATGGTTCTCTCTCATCATTGATGTATATTATCTCCCTCTCCCTTCCTCTCTCTTAAATAAATTTTAAAAAAATTTTTTTAAAGAAATGTTAGATCAGAAACTTATTGTGATCAAATCCATCGCTTCCAACACTTGCATGACTACAGAAAAAAATGCCATATTTGTCCAATTTTATTGCTGAACAACCAAAGGAGTATAGGCATTTTGAACTTCATTTCCTTGAAGAGAAACATTTAAAGTAAACTTAAAACAATTAGATTAGCATTAAATGTGTACTCCAAAAATTGACAAGAATAAATGCAAGCAAAGCAATATTATCTCATGGGGAAAATTTCATAGTGTATCTTTCTGAGAGCACACTAAATGAACTCAAATAGTGTCAGTAGTTAAATGTCTACAGCCTATTCATTTTGACTCTAAGACCAAGAAGTTTCTGCATGGCTTTTAAACTCATTATATTATACACAAGAGTAGATTACAAGGAAGAATCCTGAATTCTGTCACTAGAAGTCTTTGAAACGCTGATTTTTATTTTTCTGTTTGAGATGGCTTAAAGGATAATTTCATTGTAATGGAAACAGTAAAGGTAAAAATAAAAGGCAGGAGCCTAGACCCAGACTGTTGTTAATTGATAGTACAAAAACTTCCCTTTACACATATCGGATTGAGGGACAATATATTTATTTACACAATAGCAATGAGGAAAATGATTTATTTTTTATGATTGTTTATATGAACCTATTTATTCTGGATGCTTCTGATCCAAAGTAGTCTGCAAAGCTTTCTCAAGAAGCAGCTTTATCACTTAGAAAAGCCACCTCATTCACCACCATGCACACGCACACGCACACGCACACACACACAATGGTCTTCCAGGGCTGCTTTCTGAAGTGCTCTACAAGGCAGCAATTTCCAGGGCGGTTTTGGTTTCCTAGGGCAGCCACACACTTCCCCAGGTTCTTTGGACCTCTTCTAATCACAAGCTTTTTTAAAATTTTTATTGATTTCGGAGAGGAAGGAAGGGAGAGACAGAGAGATAGAAACATCAGTGATGAGAAAGAATCATTAATTGGCTGCCTCCTGCATGCCCCCTACTAGGGATCGAGCCTGCAACCTGGGCATATGCCCTTGACTGGAATCAAACCCAGGACCCTTCAGTCCTTAGGCTGACGCTCTATCCATTGAGCCAAAGCAGCCAGGGCTAATCTCGAGCTTTTTCATGGCACCACTATAAGGATATCACACGTTTTTATGAATCATTTATTCTGAGAAATTATAGGAATTTCTATAAGAAATGTAGTTGATCCTGGGGAAATGTTTTAGATTACAGATTAATATAGTGAAAAGAAGTCATCGGGTTGACGGAGTGGCCATTCCTGTGTTCCAGGCAGTTGTGGGAGAGCAGTAAATGTTTACACTGCTCTTTATACTTACGGATTCAGCAGAACGTGATACAGATAGATGTGTAATGGACTCACTTTACATGTCCATCTAACTTACACAAAATCGTCTGCATGCATTCAGAAAGGAAGAAGAGGCGGCTATTAAGTGGTTAAATAGTGTGAGCAGTTTTGCCACCATTCCGCCCGCTGAGTCTGAGCCCTAGTGCAGTGATGGCGAGGTTCGTGACAGAGTTGTCCCGGGTTTGGTTCCCTGTGCCTGAAATAGTGTGAAAATGCAGCACCAGGCTTTCAAGTGCAACTTCTTACCGTTTAGGATTCAGCCAAGCAGCCATGTGCCTCCTCTCAGCAGGAGACACTGGCTCTGTTGCCCTTGGAGGGGACATCCAGTGAGGTGCCTTCCTGGGACTGTCAAGGGGTGCTAACTGTGGAACCTCACCTGAGATGTGTCTCTCTCATGTTTGATGCTTCTGTCTTTTGTTAGAAATGAGTGGCTAACCTAACCAGAAAGTCCTCTTGTAACCCAAGAAAATGGATCCCTATTATATTTGCCATAAATTGCAAAAACATTAACAAGTCCAACCTCTACATGGGAAACAGGATTGTACATAGAATAAAACTGTAAGCCCTTCTGCTTAACTGTGCCTCATGTTGGAGGTAAGCAATTTCATTAGAGTTGCCAGTGTACACAAAAGGGTTAGTCACGGTCAAGGATTCAAAGTCCATTCAGTGACTTTGGGGAAATTGCCTAACTTATACTTACGTTTTTCCACCTACACATCAAGAAAATCATTCTTACCACTTTCTTCACTAGAAAGTAACCCTCGTGTGTAACTTAGCCATCTTCTAGTGTGATTGGCACTGTCTGGTTTTAAATACTTGGCACATAGGTAGGTTCTACTTAAAAGAATATGGAAATTAGTTGGGCTTGCTGGAAGAAAACCACCAAGTATAACACGGTGGTGATATTTACCTTATTATTTTTATGTTGGTAACTGAAATGAAATTAGATATGGCTTCTGTGAAGTCAATTGATAGGTGCTGTGTCTAGGAACAACCTGTTTTCATCCTGCTTCTTCCCTACATATTGTCACCTAAGCTGGTGAGTGATGAGAAAGCCAGTGTTATTCGAAACTGAAAGTACAAGCAGGAAAAACCACCAGTCAAGTTGAAAGGGCAATGCTTAGCTGTCATGGTTGCCATTGCTGCAAGCTGATTTTGTGTTTTACTCCCCGTGCTCTTAAAAAAAAAAGTCCTGCCCGGCCAGCATGGCTCAGTGGTTGAGCATCCACCTAGGAACCAGGAGGTCGCGGTTTGATTCCCTGTCAGGGCACATGCCTGGGCTGTGGGCTCAATCCCCAGTGTGGGGCGGGCAGGAGGCAGCTGATCAATGATTCTCTCTCATCGTTGATGTTTCTATCTCTCTCTCCCTCTCCCTTCCTCTCTGAAATCAATAAAAATACATTTTTTAATTTTAAAAAAGTCCTAAAAGAGAATCACCATTTACTAAGTACTGTTGACATGTAAATTTGGATCAGATTTTCTAACAGCATTTATTACTGTTGTCATTTCTTAGGGAAATTAACTACAAAATCTAGATCTGGACTGTAAGTTGTTGGTTCGTTAGAAGTAAGTTGTTGGTTAATTAGAAATATGCATTCTCGTGATTAATTGAATTACTAGCATAAAATAAGGGGGAATTTATAAATTGCCAATGAGTCACGATGCTGGAAGAGACCTGTCTTTCTATTTTAGCCATCTCTCTTTTTACAGAGGAGGAAATTCAGGACCAAGAGATTAAGTTATATGTTCTTTGTCAATTTAATTTTTTAAAAGGTGATCAATTGACTGTTGAGCCTGAGGTGGGCATGTGTCTGCATCTTTTACTTGGCTGAGGTGCTTTGGACCAGCTAGGTCTGTAATTGCCAGCAGGCCTGTGGTGCCCGCGCTCACAGTGGGGCGGGATAAATTCTTCTGTTGTTTACTGCAGCCTGGCAGCGAGCTGGACAACTTGGAGGAGATTTTGGATGATTTGCAGAATAGTCAATTACCACAGCTTTTCCCAGACACGAGGCCTGGCGCCCCTGCTGGATCAGTTGACAAGCAAGCCATCATCAATGACCTCATGCAACTCACAGCTGAAAACAGCCCGGTTACACCTGTTGGAGCCCAGAAAACAGCACTGCGAATTTCCCAGAGCAGTGAGTATGAGATATTGATGGTTATGCCATATAATCATCATCAGAAACAGGGATTATTAAAATCTGATGCAAACAGCTTAGTCACTTCAAGATTTTTATGGTCAAATAGCACCATCTACTGTCCTGGTACTTCCCAGCAGTATTCAGAGTGGATTCTCGTGAACGTGGCTTCCCAGCATTCCCTGGGAATCAACATGGAGTGAGATTGGCTGACCCACATACATAAAGTTCTTTAGATGATCTTCATAGTTCCCTGCATTTCAGCTACTGCCTTCAGAAATGGAGTTTAAATAGATTTTATGTTTTAATATATAACTGAACACTTAAAATGTAAGAAATGAGAAAGTTATGCTGACTTTTTAGGAATAATATATTACTAAAAATTCTCAAAATATCTAATCATTATATGTGAAAGGGCTACACACATTAAAAACATCTTGTCCTACCGCTTAGGAATCCTCATACAACTATCAATTTTACATGGAACTTTATCATACAAATGTGTTCTAAGTGCATTTTAAGTTTGGTTAGTTTGATAGACTATCTTTTAAGTACATTTTTATCATTTATTTTACTCTTTTTATTTTAAATTTTATTTAGGTAAGTTTAAGATGAACCTTCACTATGAACACTTAGTTTACAAACTTGATAGTTGCCTCAAGTTGCCCAATAGTTTGAATGGAAGAAAAACGTTTCCTGATCCAGGGACATAATTTATAGGAAGTTAGATAACCTCCTTAGAGTTACATTGGTGAATGGAGGAAATGATTCCCCTCCTCCCTTTCCAAAACAGTTTGGCCCAGAGCTTAGCATTGGTTCTCAAACCAGAAATGGCAACTATCAATCAAATCACAGGGTTCATTTATTGACTAGATCTTTTCTCAAGGATTCCTGATCATTCCAAAAAGGGTAAAATAAAGTCGAGCTTTTACTGTTATCTCTCAAACCTGCCTATTTCTTGGGGAATGGAGGATTACTTATGGACCACGCGAGAGCACAAGTCAAAGAGTTGAGGAGTGAGAAACAAACTAGAAAGTTCATGCTCATTATCCAGGAGAATTGAAGGACAAACTGCATGTGAACTCATGGTTTCTCCTCCATCTGTACCTCCTAATAGTGTTCAAATTATTGATGGGTAACCCACATAACTAGCCCTGAGGTTGCCCTGAATAAGCATGTATATCATTTCTATTCCAAGCCTTAATTCTTCTAAATATATCTTTACACTTTAAAAAATTTTAATAGCATTGATGTCAAATTACTGGTTGTCTGTGTAATAGTACAGTGCACTAGTGTAGTGCTTATTACACAATAAATCTTGGGAACTAACCCCAAGAATCATTTCAAATCTAAATGTATCTGGAATTCTAAAAAGCTATATTTGGAAGAGTAAAGATTAGGGTCCTAAAGCATTAATAATTACTTCAGGTAACAGTTTACACTTGAAGATTTTCACTTCCACTAGAATTCAACACCTTGAACCTAATTCTTCTAGGAAAAATCTAGTATAGTCATGTAATTGTAACATTCAAACCATATGTTTCTGGGTTTGGTGCTGTATGCAGATAGCTGTGACAGCAATACTACTAAATTCTAATAATGTAACATGAAAAACACCATATGAGTGGTTTACTTAGCAAATACAATTGAATATTAGAGACTAGCATTGGGAAAAAATATATGGTAAGTGACAGCCATGTTATGTTCTTTTTTTGTAAGAATGTGAATAATTAAATTAGTTGTTTATTGATTAGATTGGGAGACTCTGACACTGCTTGTTTTTTGTCTGAATTTGTCTTTTGTTTAGGCGGTCTCTGGCATGCATATCTGTTGTTATTTTACAGACAGCATTTTTCCTAAACACTACTTTTGTTTCCTAAACAGTACTTTTGTTAACCTTTAATTTTCATCTGTTCTCTCCTTAGCTTTTAATAACCCACGACCAGGGCAACTGGGCAGGTTATTGCCAAACCAGAATTTACCACTTGACATCACATTGCAAAGCCCAACTGGTGCTGGACCCTTCCCACCAATCAGAAACAATAGTCCCTACTCAGTGATACCTCAGCCAGGAATGATGGGTAACCAAGGGATGATAGGAAACCAAGGAAATGTAGGGAACAGTAGCACAGGTAAGGGCTCAAATGCACTGTTACTTTACTGGGTTCTGTAACCTAATGATGTATTTCATCCACATCAAACTAGTAGAATTCTTCCAATGAAATTTTTCATGTTAGAAGCTAACATTTGAATGTAAGAAAAGTGTACAGATTTTCACCATCAGGGTGGTACAGGAAGCATCGGAGAGCATTCCAGGAAGCTGGCCTTTTACTCTGTGATCATTACTTTCAGGGGTTGCTAATTATTACTCCTATACCATAGGCTCATTTCACTTCTGTTCCCCTTGCTGTTGGAGACATTGTGGTGGTGTGTGTAAAATAATTTGGTGGTTGCCAGCTTCTCATGATAATCTGCTGATAATCCCAAAACTTCCTGTTAATTGATGATCTGTGTTTGGAGAATTTCAGAATAAAAGTTTAAAATTCAGCCAGCCTTTCATGCTTGTAAATGATACCATTCTCATTCAGAAAAATATTCATTAAAAATAAAAACTTTAGTCCGACTTGTGTGGCTCAGTTGTTGAACGTTGACCTATGGACTAGGAGGTCACAGTTCAATTCCCAGTCAGGGCACATGCCCAGGTTGCAGGCTCAATCTCCAGTTTTTTATGAAGAACTGCTCACAATTTATAGCTTTCTTCCTTTGTTGAAATGAGGGCCTAAAGAAAAAGATACTGAAATAATAGATATTATCAAAAAACTTATATTGGTGGGTGTTTAATTTGGGGGGTTTGTTTGTTCATTTTTGTTTTTAGCTTAGTATGTAATCCCTGCAAACATTTGCCATTTAGATAGTTAACTGAAAATAAGAGTTCAATTTAAGGGGAAAAGATGGATTTTTTTACTTTCTGTTTTTCATAAAGCAATGAACAATGCTGTATAAAAATAGTTCATTCAACAAATACTAATTGGGTACCTATCCTAAGTGCCAGGAACTTACTACTTCACTAATTTGTATATTCACAGAAATAGTGCCATATAAATTTTGCATAATTTTTAAGACTATTGATTTATAGAAATAAAATACTGGTTTATGTAAATTTTATAAGAGAACAGGAGCCAATGACTTATTAAAGGTGGCTTCTTATTAGCAGAATCCAAGAACACCTGAGTCCTTGTGGGAACCTGACGTAAGAACTTGGGGATATACCTGTATTCAATTCTAAGCTGCCCAGAGACCACTGGTATTCAGGCTGTCATCATGCAATTAATTGCCTGTGCTTTGTTGAAAAAGAAAACACTGAGAGAAACTCCGCCAGTTATAATTCATTAATGTTGTTGAATTAAGGATGGTTTTACCTTCTGTTTTCTGGACTTTCTATAACCTTGTTATGTCGTTTAGATAATAGATTTTTTGAAAGCTAAAATGCCTATTTCCTATTATACATTTGTAAAATTTAAATCTAATCTTAAAATAGTTTGTTAAATACATGTTACCATAATATTGTTCTAACTTTTTCAGCCTAATTAAATGTCCTTCACTCTTAGTCATCCTAACAGAGCACATTCTCCAGGAAAAAACCACCCACCATACATGGCTGCTCCATTTATAAAATATACCCTATTTTTAGTTGTTTATTATAATTAAAGTAAATGAAAGCAAGTCATGTATTTGAAAGCAGAGCTTTTATACATCCGTCATTAAACATTTCAAAACGAAGGGTCTGCACTTGGGGTTTTTCCAGAACTTCTAGAATATCAGGTCTTGACAAATCTCTGGCCGTTGCCAGCATCTCGGTGGCCGAGCGAGGGAAAGCAAGCTCCCGATCCTGCTTACCAGTGTCGTGCTCCTGTATTATGTGTGGTCAACTAGCTATTAACATCTCAAGCATAAAAGGATTTTTACCAGTCTGCCCGAACCCATTCTAGATCTATACTCAGGAATGTGGTGGTCCAGGCATATTGAAGTAGTAGGAGTTCCCAGCCTTGGCTACAAAGAACCGTAGTAGAAAGATCGGGTCATTGCCCCATGCTTTGGAGGCTACCCGGCAATTTTAAAGCTTAACAAATTCTAATGCTCTGAAAGGCATAGGCATGGGCTTCCCGGGATAGTCTCCATGATTTTGGTTTGTGATTAGAGTATTGATGATCAGTTTTTTACCTTGTTCCTCTTGGCCTCACCTCCCTTTTGGAAAGTAAAGCATTGACGTGTGTATCAGCTAATGTGATTCACTTCCTGAGGAAGGAAGTTGGGGTTATCCACACGCCACAGCACCTGTTTCTAAGTACATATGGGAACAATTTTAACAGCTTTTCCGAACTATAAAGAGTGGCAAGTCCGTGTTGTAAAGAACTTTGTAGTAATTGCCAATTCTTATTTCTTAGCCAACGGCCCGCATCTGTCCCAGTGAGGGCCTTAGCTGTTGGGCTAGCTGCATATTGCAGACTGGTTGTCTTGCTCAGAGTAAGATTGTGTGGCGTTCACACGTGCTGAGTATGTTTTCAGTTTCTGCATGTCTCTGTCTTCTCTGGCTTGCCTTCAGGGATGATAGGTAGTAACGCCGCCCGGCCCACCATGCCATCTGGGGAGTGGGCACCGCAGAGTTCCGTGCGAGTCACCTGTGCTGCTACCGCCAGCGCCATGAACAGGACGCTCCAAGGAGGTATGATTCGGAATCCAGCCGCCAGCATCCCCATGAGACCCAGCAGCCAGCCTGGCCAAAGGCAGATGCTTCAGTCTCAGGTCATGAATCTAGGTAAGGTGGTGCTCCTGGCTTTGCTTCTGCCTTCCTAGACTAACAGCTCCAGAAGTGCTCCCAAGACAGGCTCCTGATTTGCCATTTAGGTGTCCTCCATGGCATGCTGTCATGAGTGGGATTTTGCTGGAACTCTGTATAGAAACTTCAACGTTTTTCAGTTACCTACGAGAGCCAGCTACCTTTGTGATGTTTTCTTTTCATTAAATTACCTAATTTCAGCTTATATGGGCAGTGAGTGTCCCATATAAATGGTGTATTTTGGAGAAGCATTTCAGTGATGCAGCAGTGGTTCCTAACTCTGGGTGAACATCAGGGTCACCTCAGGACCTGCAAGTGCGGGTTCCTGGGCCACTGCCCTCCACTGTTAAACCTACTCTCCCGGTCCTCACGAAGGTGCAGGTCTTACAGAACGTCTCACAAATCGTGAGGATCAGTAGAATTTTGTTTGGATACAATTCACATGTTATTAAAAATTAATGGTCAGGTATATTGCATGACTCCCTTTATAGGAAATGTCCAGAATAGGCAAATCTGTAGAGAAAGTAGATTAGTGTTTACCTAGGACTGGGAGTCTGGGGGTGGGAGCACAATGGGGAGTGACTCCCAATGGTCATTCTTTGGGGGAGGATAAGAATATTCTAAACTTGATTGTCGTGGAGGTTGTACAATCTGTAAATATACTAACCCCACTGGATGGTATTCTATAAAGAGATAAATTGTATGCTATGTGAATTATAGCTCAATAAAGCCATTGTTAAAACATATTAATGGTCAATGCAGCTCATACTCAAGATTATTTTTTTAATCATTGACATATTAACCTTCCTCTTCTACATTAGCATAGCTCAGATAAGTTGACGTTTATGTTCTGTTTCATATACTTAGATATTGTGCCATGAGTAGGAGCTAACTGATGATGGAAAGGTGCCATGGTTGTTTGGAGGAGGTGGTGCAGACTCCTCATCCCACCTCTGGCATCTGTTTTCCTAACCAGCAGCTTAACTGCTCAGTGCATTTGGGGTTATTGTTTCTGAAAGATGACATTCTTGTCATTTGAGGTTGCATGAGAAATGCTAAAAAATGACCAGAATTCCATGCAAAATTAAACTGGGAAATATTTTTTAATATTTCTTCATTTAAAAAACATCATAATAAATACCTATATCCAGAAATTTAATTTAGTGTGTCTTTCATCATTGAAAGGCATCACTCTTGGCTTTTGAGCTTTGCTGTATAACTGAGTTTTTCTGATTATAATGGAAGTCTATTGTAATGGAAGACAGGTCTACAGATAATGATAACAGTAAAATTGTTAAAAAGCTCATATCGTCATTAGCCTTAAACCTCTAAAAAGAGCTATTAAGAATGAGCATGTCTGAGCTACTGGCCTCCTTTCTGTTCCACTCTTACTCCCTGGAGAGTCACTGAACCCAGTAAATTCAGGAGCACACGCAGACCAGCGCCTCTCACAGGACGGCCCAGGACCCCGGCGTCCTTTGGAAAGGGGGTCTGCCAGGCCCAGACTGTTCTCATAATCACACTAAGACACTGTTTTCCTTCTCACTCTCCTTCTCTCGCGGGGCTGGAATGTGGAAGCAAGTAGGAAATTCTGACTCTCTTCTGTCAAAGGACATTAAAGTGATTTTCAAAAATATAAAACAACATCAGTAAAAGGTGGCGTTGCGTTTTTTTGTTTGTTTTTTTCATTCAAAAAAGTTTGTGGTAACATATACTGGGTTTATTATAATGATTTTTAAATGAAGTAATATTTTTTGTATTGGCCAATTTTAATTCCAACAAAGTAAATTTCAGTAAGATACAACCCACATAGACAAAATCTTCTTTGACAAAATGGAAAGGGTCCTCAGGGCAAGAAGAGGTGTAGAGCTGCTGCTCTGCACCGCCCTGGGAGCGGTGATTAGCCTTGATATTCACTGCCTGTATTTCTGTATCAGAACAAAGAGTCTTATTTCACCTGATTAGTGTTCCTCCTGTCTTTTTCATTTTCTAAAAACCAGATGTGTTGCTTTGTATTACATAGCAGAAACAGATCCTTCCCTGATTACAAGCTGTAAGATTTTTGGACTTTTGTCTTCTCCTTTTCTAGGGCCATCTGAGTTAGAGATGAACATGGGGGGCACCCAGTATAGCCAACAGCAAGCTCCTCCGAACCAGACCGCCCCATGGCCTGAGAGCATCCTGCCCATAGACCAGGCCTCCTTCGCCAGCCAGAGCAGGTGAGTCTGAGCCCCCAGGAGGTCCAGGAGAGCTGCTTTCCGAGTTCTGTACGTTAATTTACACAGGCCTGTGCCCAGAGTCAGTCCTCTCCTTTTAATAGCTGGTGCCTGACCAAACTGAAGAATTCAGACTTTGTACATTAAGCCATTGAAATAGTTTTTTGAAAAAGGATGTGGTGTCTGATCAAGTTTATTGAGTTTTTTTGGTTGTGATTATCAGTCTAATCATTTTCATTTCCTTGTAGGTGATCTTTTCTTTCTAATTGCTTTTGAACAGTTCTTTGTGTTTGCTGCGTTGTAGCTTTACCACAATGCGTCTAGGTGTGGATTTATTGATACTACCTGGTATTTAGTATATATTGTTCATTTCTTTTTTTTTTTTTTTTTTTTTTTTTTTTTTTTTAAATATATATTTTATTGATTTTTCACAGAGAGGAAGGGAGAGAGATAGAGAGAGTCAGAAACATCGATGAGAGAGAAACATCGATCAGCTGCCTCCTGCACATCCCCCACGGGGATGTGCCCGCAACCCAGGTACATGCCCTCGACCGGAATCGAACCCGGGACCTCTCAGTCCGCAGGCTGACGCTCTATCCACTGAGCCAAACCGGTTTCGGCAATATATTGTTCATTTCTAAGAGTTTTATTTGCCCGGTTATTTTTCACAACTTCTTTCGTCTTGCTTATTTTTGTGATTTTTTTTTTAAATATATTTTTATTGATTTCAGAGAGGAAGGGAGAGAGCTAGAAAGAAAGAAACATCAATGATGAGAGAGAATCATTGATAGGCTGCCTCCTGCATGCCCCCTACTGGGGATCGAGCCCGCAGCCGGGGCATGTACCCTTGGCCAGAATCAAACCTGGGACCCTTTAGTCTGCAGGCCAATGCTCTATCCACTGAGCCAAACCAGCTAGGGCTGTTTTTGTGAATTTATCTTTATATCTTTAAATACTACATTAATCATTATTTCTAAATTTTTTTATTCAAATTCTAAATTTTTTATTTCAATATCTGGATTTCTTGAAGTTCTAAATCCATTGATTGACCTATTTCCCTAAGTCGTTGGTAATTTCACTGGGAGTTCATAACAGATCTCAGTTAGTGAAACATCTGGGATTGAAATTGAGGGCACTTTTATTAAGGGAGAATTTGCAGTGGTCTCTGCCAGATGTGACGTCACTACTTACTTGGGTCTCCCCCAGGATCCCTCAGCTCAGCCCAGCAGTCTCAGGGTAGCTCTTTGACTTCGCTTTGCTTTATGGATAAAAACGCACCCATCACCCGTGGCGTGGAGAATGCCTGCGTTTCAGCTCATCGCTGTGTTTTGTTTTGTGTTGTTCCCGGCAAAGGCAACATCTGTTGTGATACTGCACGATCTCACTGGGTTTTAGCAGAGCAGCGGAAGCCGAGGTTGCACAGGGGACTGAGGCCTGAGTGATGGCACTGCCCAGCCGGCCGGGTGGGCGAGAGCCTAGGGCAGGGAGAGAGCTGGGGCCTGAGCAAGAGGCAGTGTGGGCCCTCACAGGATGCAGGCTTTGCTTCCCAGGAAGCAAACTTCTTAGAAAACGTAAACTGGAGGAATTTGGCCTTGAGGCTCATATGTAAAGAGTTGGGGATGGCCCTAACTGGTTTGGCTCAATGGATAGAGCGTCGGCCTGCGGACTCAAGGGTTCCAGGTTTGATTCCGGTCAGGGGCATGCACCTGGGTTGCAGGCACATACCCAGTAGGGAGATGTGCGGGAGGCAGCTGATCGATGTTTCTCTCTCATCGATGTTTCTAACTCTCTGTCCCTCTCCCTTCCTCTCTGTAAGAAATCAATAAAATATATATTTTTAAAAAAGAGTTGGGGTTGGAGGCTCCATGAAGACCTTTTTGCAGAGCGAATGTTTATGTGCTTCTGGGATTATTCTAGTCTCAAATCATATAATTCTCTTATCAAATGCACAAATGATGAAAGTCAACAGGGTTTCTGGAGCTTCACCCAGGCAGGCCTCCTTTCCAGAGCTGCTTAAAAATGCACATTTCTGAGTGAGTCCCTCTCTGGGATGTAATGCTTTCATCGTAGTCGGGGCTGCGCAGTGCAGGTTTGCAGTATGTGCCCGTCTTTCTTTCTGTAAAGCGAGTAATAAAGGATTCAATGATGTTTTAAAAAATAGCGGAAGGTGAATATGTGCCCAGCAATAGGTTTGGTGAGAAAAGTAGAGAACTGGTTATTGCAGTGAAAGAAAAAATTAAGGAAACTGCTTAATAACTGTCTAAAGAAGGAAGGGTGCTCACCTGCAGTATGCCATTCGCTAAGGGGGATATGTTTTTATTGATTTCAGAGAGGAAGAGGGGGAAAGAGGGATAGAAACATCAATGATGAGAGAGAATCATTGATTGGCTGCCTCCTGCACGCCCCCCATCAGAGATCAAGCCCGTTACCCAGGCATGTGCCCTGACCAGGAATGGAACCATGACCTCCTGGTTTATAGGTCAGTGCTCAACCACTGTGCCTGTGAACTGCCTCTGGGGTCTCACTGAGAGGCAGGTCTGGGTGGGACCCAGGAGTCTGCCTTCCCCACAAAGCCCAGGTGATGCCAGCACCGCTGGTCCTCCCACTGCACCGTGAGTGGCAGTGAGGCTGGAAGAACAGACAAGGAGACTTCGAGTCTAATTTCACAGTGTGGGAGGGTTGTTCTTTCCTAAATATGTTTATTTGGTATGTTAAAATCCACCCAGCCTGAACCGGTTTGGCTCAGTGGATGGAGCGTCAGCCTACGGACTCAAGTGTCCCAGGTTTGATTCCGGTCAAGGGCATATGCCCGGGTTGCAGGCTTGATCCCCAGTAGGGGGTGTACAGAAGGCAACTGATCAATAATTCTCTCTCATCATTGGTGTTTCTATCTCTCTCTCTCTCTCTCTTCCTCTCCTTTTCTCTCTCTGAAATAAATAAAAATAGTAAAAAATAAAATAAACCCAGCCATTTCCATGGAAATTTACACATAATAAAAATACAGTGCAATAATTAAATCCAACATTTGATAGTTGTTTTTGAATGAAATGTGAAAGATGAGTTTCTAGGGAACTCATCCTAAGCCCAAAATTAGGATTTTCAATTGCCCAAACAGATGAGAGTTCTAGTTGGTTGGTTGGTTGGTTGGCTTGTTTGTTTAAAAGGGAAGAATTCCGATTTTACTGAGTCCAACGCAGAGTGAGCTGTGCCACGCAGGTTCTGGGGCTCAGCGTGGCCTGTGCTGCCCCCTCGGTCACTGTGTCCGGCTGCCTGTGTCTAAGAACTGTGTGAACAAAGTGTTTTTGCCGCTTTAGAAGTTATTTCCGTCTTTCCAGGCACTCATCCCACTTATTGTATTTAAATAACTGAGTTTGGAAGAAAGTTAAGACCAACTTCAAGCTAATTTTACTGCCATAGAGCCTCAGAGGTGATGGTAACAGGTTCTAACAACACCCCTCTTGAAACAAAAGGAAAGCAGTGCTTTCTGAAAATCCCCTCTGTTAGTGTCACCATCACCATTTTATGTTTTTACAACCCACCTGTTTAGGAATGGGTTTAATGTTTATGAACCAAGCACTAGTTTATGTACATATTTCAAAAAGACAGTATGTTAAATCTCCAACATATCCCCATATCACTGGTTGTAGCTGAATTTCCGTTTTCTGTAGTTCCATTGTGTTTTTTCCTTAGCTCACCTGGTACGTAAAGAGAGGTTTGAAATATAGTCCAAAATGTATAGATGATTTGTTTGAAGATTTCTGTTGGGTTTATAAAAGTGATTTTTTTTCTTGAAATAGAACCGCTGTCTTTCATGAAAGATTTGCTTTCACATTAAACTCAAATTTTTTGAGTTAACCTTGGTTTTCTGTTGTTTGAAATGTACGTGAGAGTAAAGTTTCTTGTGTTGACTATTTCTCATCATGTAGTAGCTGCTACTTTTTTGCAGGATTTGGGGAATACATGTGAAAAGTGAGGGTAATGGTACGGTTTCCCATGAGCCTATCACCAGTGGAGAGAGAGGGGCCAGGGGTGTGTGTAGGAATGAAGCTTCTGGAGGAACAGGAATTGAAAATTTTGAAATAAAGCTAGACAAAGGAAATACTTGAATGCCCCACGTGAATAGCATCTTTGGGGAATGAGGTCTCAACCTAAGAGACCTGGTACAGAGCCGATGTCCACTCTGGCCAACTTGAGCTCTTTTTGCATGAAGTTTACCACATCCAGATGTTGGTCACTTCTCGGGCATTTCCTTCTGCCTTTGCCGCCATGACATGCAGTCCTGTGGTTTTCTCCTGGTTGCTCCTCCCTCCCCTCGCTAAGCAGCGGTGAGGAGTGATCGGATCACACTTGTATTTAAAAGTGAGTTCTGGGAAGGTGGCGGCTGTGGGGGAGCTATTTTAGTGCCTGCTGTTTACCGAGAACCACAGCAATGGTGGGGAGAGGAGGCAGGTGGAGAGTCCCCAGTGAGAGCAGAGGCTGAGAGTGTGGGTGGGAGCCCGAGTGGCTGGTGCGTGCGTGTAACTGCTGGTAGCTCATGTGAGGTCTCCTATGTCCTTTAACTGGGCCCAGTGCCTCGGAGGCAGTGGGGCTGCAGGCTTGGAGCCAGGGACAGGAGGTGAGGGTATTCTCAAGGGACACTTAATGGGGTGACTTTCTTTTTAAAAAAAAATATATTTTATTGATTTTTTACAGAGAGGAAGGGAGAAGGATAGAGAGTTAGAAACATCAATGAGAGAGAAACATCCATCAGCTGCCTCCTGCACACCCCCTGTTGGGGATGTGCCCGCAACCAAGGTACATGCCCTTGACCGGAATCAAACCTGGGACCCTTCAGTCTGCAGGCTGACACTCTATCCACTGAGCCAAACCAGTTAGGGCTGGGGTGCCTTTCTTTACCAGTAACTAGGGATCAGTGGAGAGTCTAGATTATTTTTAATGTACTATGTTGTTACAACTTTTTGAAATTGTTGGCTTTAGTAATCAGCATTTCAGGATTTCTGGATTCTAGGCCAATGTGGCATATTCAGCTATCTTCAGAAAACATGGCGTGTTCAACTGGGCTAAAGAAGCAGCTTCATCCCTTGATGAATCTGTGTTCACTTAAGAATGAAATTATTTCCTCCAAGACATCATATAGTAACTCAAAGGGTACAAATTTAGACTATTTTGGAAAGATAAGTATCATTTCCCCATTGGTGTTAAAGTGACTCAAAAGCTCTTTTTAAAAATCTCCCCCAATTTGCCAGTTAATTTCAATTATAGGAGTTTTATATACCATAGAATTTGGAGTTTAATATTATGGTTTTATCATCTATTACCATATAGATTAACAAACATACTTTGCAGGTTCATGATCGGCTTCTCTTGGCCAACTCAGGAGGGCTTTCATTTTTCTGAGTCTTGCTTATGGGTGACTAAGAAGGCTCATGTTAGTCCAGTGAAGTTTAGTCTGGCGACAGCCGAGTTCAGAAATTCATGTGGCTTTTATACGCCTCTCGTGCTCTGGCCTCTCCCAGGTGGGTCAGCACAGCCTCCTATGAAATAAGACTATTCAATCAATCAGACTTTCCTAGTAAAGTTCAGGAAAAGTCCTTTGATCACTTCAGTGAAAAGTAAATGTATATGTGCTTGTGGGGTCAGCGTCCATTTGTGGAAACATTAATGGCCAGGCGGGCCTTGGACTCGCGTAGGTCATTTTGTTCTGTGTCCGGCTGGTACAGTATTTTACTACAAAGACGCTAGAAGGCAACTGAGACTTCAGTCCTTACGGAATAACAATGTTCTGCGATCAGCTAGCTTTTCCACGGGCCAAGCCGAAGTCTTGTCTTTGCAGGCAGCCGTTTGGCAGCTCCCCTGATGATCTGCTGTGCCCACACCCTGCCGCTGAGTCTCCCAGCGACGAGGGCGCCCTCCTGGACCAGCTCTACCTGGCCTTGCGGAACTTCGATGGCCTGGAGGAGATTGACAGAGCTTTGGGAATACCCGAACTGGTCAGCCAGGTACGTGCAGGCGGAAGCTGGCGGGGCTGAGCATCTCGTGGGCACAGAGATGTTCGTTTCCTTTTGCCCACAGATAATCTGCAGTCTGCGTTTTACAATACCTTTTCACCTCGTGCCACTCTAGCTCTGGCTTCTTTCTCCCCCTCTCCTTGTGACTCCCTCATAAACTCTGGCCCAAGAACGGAAAACACTGGATATGAGCTTTACGTAGAATTTGGGTTATTCAGCTGAGAGGCAGAAACACAGGTCCAGCTCACCTAACGACAGGGAGGGACCCGCAGAATGGAACATTGCTGTCCCGATAGCCTTGAATGCTTTCCTCTGAAACCCATTCTCCATGATCGCCACACGAATCTTACATTTGTGGGCCAGTGATAGGAAACTATTTGTTCTAAAAGAATACTTTGCACATACGGTAGCAGAAGTCAATTTAGAGGTTGCTGTAACTCATTAATCATTTTGACCTTTGCATAGGTTTAGCCCTCAACAATATTTAGGATATTTAAGCATAAGCAGGAATAGAAAGAAGTTAACCAATTTTAGTGTACTCAGTTAGCTTCCTTCCTCCTGGTAATCAGTTGGTAACTTAAAGTAAGTCTCTGCTGTAAGATTACTTTATAGCAGTAATATCATAAATTATAATTAATTATAAGTAATATCATAGACAGTCTCATGAACTAGCACAGCCTTTCTGAAGCTGGCTCCCCAGCTAAGTTGGTGTGAAGCCGCCTTCCTGATTTACTGTATAAGGAGGAACCTAGAAAAAACGATCACGGTCGTGTTTCTGTCTTCCTCTCTTAGCAGCATGAATCATCTTTGTTTCTTGTTACTAAAAAGTACCTCCCAGTGTCGGGTCGACTTCTTGCACGTCTGACGTGCCATGAGGTCTGCGATGAAGGTGGGGCAGTCATTGGAGACTTCTGAAGCATTAAAAACAGTCTTGTCATAATCCCCACAGTTCGCAGACATAAGTGGGAGTTCAGACTTGTCAATTCATACTGAGAACAGCAAAATGGAAAGAAATGACTTGATATAACTTGAAATACAGCAAGAAAGGAAAATGGAGTTTAACTATTTCCTGTGTGGCTGCTGGCTTTGCCTCGGGTGATAGTTAGAATTCAGCATTCAGTGTTGTTGTCCTTGAGTTTTGTCTCAGTGACATTTAAAAATATGATCCTGGGTTTTGCTGAGTGCATTGTTTTTATCAAAACTGGTGTCATTTCATCATTTAATATTTTAGTCTTATTTTTTCCATTTCTTTGTCTTATTTCTCTTTTGTCTCATCAAATACACCATCGTTATATCATGTGAAACTGAATTATGGAAGTGTGCTTATTAGTAGGTGGGGCTGGGAAATGTGAAGTAGTAGTGGACTTTATTTGTACTCATCAGAAATGTGTTTTCTTTGAAAATGGAAATTAAATGTTCTCGCTGTTAAAATTGGGCAAATAGATATTTATTTTTGAATTGATTTTTAGGGGGGGGGAGAAAAATGGATGTGAGAGGGAAACACCCATCAGCTGCCTCCTGCACACCCCCTACCGAGGATTAAGCCGCAACCCTGGCATGAGCCCCGACCAGGGATCAAACCAGCAGCCTTTCGGTGCACCAGGTGATTCCCAAACAATGGCCACACCAGCCAGGACTAAAGATGGGCAGATATTTAAAGTTCTGAGGTAGTTTTGTGGATTTAGTTAGAATAGTAATTCAACAATGAATAGTTTCCCCGACAAAGATCCATCCACATTTTCAAAACTATCATGGGGCCCTGGCCGGTGTGGCTCAGTTGGTTAGAGCATTGTCCTATGCACCAAAAGGTCGCAGATTCAATTCCTGGTCAGGGTACATACAGGAGACAACCGATCAATGTTTCTCTCTCCCTCTCCCTCTCCCTCTCCCTCTCCCTCCCCCTTTGAAATTAATAAAGCTATATATTTTTTAATAAAATAAAGGCAGCGTATCATACTGGTGAGTAGCTCAGGTCCTAAGTCACAGACTGGACTGGAACCGACAGACTGGACTGGAACCCAGGTGGGCTTCTTGCAATTTGTTTCACCTCTCCAAGTCTCAGTTGCATTATCTGCAAAATGGGAATAATGGTGGTGGGGACCCCAAAACTGCCGATCCCAACTAGGTACCAATCAACTATGCAGGTGTGAGTAATCTATCAAGAAAACATGAAATAGGCGCATTGGAAGTCCAGGTCAGTATCTGGTTGGTGGAGTGAGCAGGCAGCTTTCGTAGTCACGGCCCATGGGTCCCTTCCCTGGGAAGAAGTGACGGGGACGTCACGCCTGACCCCAGCTTCCTGCCTCACATAAAGGCTTTCCTGGAGAGAAAAGTGAAGTCAAGCTAAAAGTACCTTTGTGTAGTGAGGACAGTATAAAAGGCTTCAAATCTCTGACAATGAGAGAAACCAGCCTTACATTCCTTCTGCTGTTGTTAGTTTCTTTATTTCTTTGTTTGTTCCTTGGGCTTTCTCTTCAGAGCCAGGCAGTCGATCCAGACCAGTTCTCGAGCCAGGACTCCAACATGATGCTGGAGCAGAAGGCACCCGTCTTCCCCCAGCAGTACGCGTCTCAGGCCCAGATGGCCCAGGGGAGCTATTCTCCCATGCAGGACCCCAACTTCCACAGCATGGGGCAGCGGCCTAGTTACGCCACACTCCGCATGCAGCCCAGACCCAGCCTCCGGCCCACAGGTCTGGTACAGAACCAGCCCAATCAGCTGAGGCTCCAACTGCAGCATCGCCTCCAAGCACAGCAGGTATGTGCCCTGTGAGTGCCTGGAAGCCCGGGGTGGAGGGTGGGTGGCACAGGGAAGACAGATGTCAGATGGAGCAGTAATTGTCTGCCCTTTGGATGCCTTCGATCTCATTCCATGCTTTCTAGGAGGGTGAAAATTTCTCCAAGATGATCCTATGATTTTCATACTCCTTTCTACTCCTTTCTTTCTTTCTCCTACACTAACTCCAGTACAGAGTAGCTGTCCTTTCATACCCTACCTCCATTCTTTACTAATGGTCTAATCTTGAGCTCTCTGAGCCTCAGTTTTCATTCTGTAAAATGGGCTTGTTGTACAGTACAGGGCGGCATATGTATATTTAAGGGACCCAGCATAGTTCTGAGCCCAAACCAAGCACTCAGAACACCAGCTGCTCCTGTCAGGAGTCCTAGCTGTGACAGAATGGTCCCTGTCAGCAGATTTCTGTGATACAACAGGTAATCACGTTGCGGGCTTTCCAGTCTCCTTTCGTTTCTCTGAGTGATGAGCACCTGCCTTTTTCTGGTCTTCCTCTTGGCCTCCTTTTCTGGTCATTCTCCTCCCTTTCCCCCTTTCGAACAGTTGTTTTCCGAACAGTCCTGAATAATTCCCCAGTTATAAGCAATGTGACACCTCATTCAGAACTGGCTTCCACAAGAATCCAGCTCCAAGCCCAGGGCTTCAGTGTCCAGCAGCAGGCAGACGTTGGGTGGAAGGTGATTTTGTTAGGAAGGTGATTTGAAATAAAATCCATAGGGGTTTTTTAATGTCCTGATTCCTATGTGTATCCATTTAGAATCGCCAGCCCCTTATGAATCAAATGAGCAATGTGTCCAATGTGTCCAACCTGACTCTGAGGCCTGGAGTACCAACACAGGTAAGGGGCAGCCCCTCTGTCAGCTTTCGCTGGGTCCATTTCTCCCCCCTTGATGCCCCACGTGAGGTAACTGAGATGCCAGATGTTCTGACGACCACAGGATATCTGTAACATCATTCAGTCATCTTTTGTGGTTCCTCTTAACCATTGCCATTGATATTGCGGCTGCAGGCAACTCCATTATTCACATGTTGTGTTCCATAAAGTTATTGCAAGCAAGAATTAGCGGACACAGAACTACTGCTCCTAGGAGAAGTGGAGGGTTAGGTTCCTATGAGCCTCTGCTCACAACATTTTCAGCAACCTAGCAATACATGACCTTGTTTTAGGTATGTTTCCATTTGAAAACAGATTATTTAATGGGTATTGTTCAGTCTTTGACATTTGAACTCACAGCCAATAGTCCTGTAACTCACCTAATGCAGTCTGAGGGTGGGAACCAGAAGGCGGAGTCAGGAGGGAGCAGGCACAGAGAGTGTCTCAAATTATCCACCGCTTTGCACGTATCTGTAAATGACGGCAGTGCTGTGAATATTGATTTGGGATACAAATCAATCCTAGTGAGGAAGGGAGTGCACAGACAAGGAATCCACGAATAATGCGGGTCAGCTGTATATTGCAAGGGCCCCCAAGTGCCGGCATCTCTTCTCATCACCTGCCCCTGCCCCCTCTCTCCCGGCCTCTGCTCAGCCTTTTCTGAAGGGCTTCAGGAACCCTTTGGCACAGTGATTTGGTTGCCCCTTTGGACTTGAATGAGACTCTGAATTGCCATTCTCAAAGTTGACGTCAGAGTCCTCTGACGGGAGGGACTGGACTTACCGTGAGGTCCTCTCACTTCGAGCCTCCAGTTAATTGGTGCTCACATTGGGCTTACCTGTGTATGTCATGGCACGTTTCGGAATAATCATCTCTGTAGAACTTAGAAGCTCACATTCTCAACCACCAGTAGTTGTTCAGCTCTACAGTGTTCTTTCCATATAAATATATTTTCCAAATGATTTTGCACGAGGCTGTACCATTATTTTTATCCTATTTCTAATATACACTTTGTTTTTCAACCTGTGTGTACCCCAACGTTTTCCACCCTGTGCTGCCCCCGTTTCAGGCACCTATTAATGCCCAGATGCTGGCCCAGAGGCAGCGGGAGATCCTGAACCAGCATCTCCGCCAGAGACAGATGCATCAGCAACAGCAAGTTCAGCAAAGGACTTTGATGATGAGAGGCCAAGGGTTGAATATGACATCAAGCATGGTGGCTCCTAGTGGGATGCCCGCAACAATGAGCAACCCCCGGGTCCCCCAGGCAAATGCACAGCAGTTTCCATTTCCTCCAAACTACGGTACTGGACTTACATCCCCACCACCTTTCTCCAGTCCTTTCTCCCCAGTGTCCCCCAGTCCTGGGTCACAGCTCCTCTCTCACAGCTCTTTGCATGGCTCCCAGATGGCTCTGGCTAACCAGGGAATGATAGGCAACCTGGGAGGACAGTTGGGGCCTGTCAGGAGTCCCCAGGTCCAGCACAGTACCTTCCAGTCTCTCAGCTCAGGTACCACCTTTTCTCTGAGTGCAGGTCTTACTTTAAGAATGACCGAAGTCAGTGTGAGTGTGTACAGTGTATCCACCAGTCGTGTGTGTGCGTGTGTGGATCGATGTGTTTATGTCCGTGTCTGTAAACACAGGTGGATATATATGTATTTATATTTGAACCTCTGAGTCTGACTCAAACAAATCAATAGACATACACAAAATGTTGAAAGTTGTATAGAAATGTAAATATTAGAGACATTCTACAACTTTGAAAAATAAAGACTTCAGCCAAAACCGGTTTGGCTCAGTGGATAGAGCATCGGCCTGCGGACTGAGAGGTCCCGGGTTCGATTCCGGTCAAGGGCATGTACCTGGGTTGCGGGCATATCCCCAGTGGGAGATGTGAAGGAGGCAGCTGATCGATGATTCTCTCTCATCGATGTTTCTAACTCTCTATCTCTCTCCCTTCCTCTCTGTAAAAAATCAATAAAATATATTTAAAAAAATAAATAAATAAAGACTTCAAAGTTTATACCAGATTTTTAATGAATAGATAATCCTTGAGAAATGCTATATAGGAACCACAGTGGAAGGCCTCTTGGTTTTCTTCATATTGATTTGTTGGGTCAGCCTTAAAAGGCAAGTGTGTAGTGTCATCAGTGTTAATATTCATGTGCATGTCATGTTCAATTAATAGTTGAATTATTGACAAAAGTAAGTGCTTACATTAATATTCAAAATGACTTTGCCTATCTTTTGCCAGCTTTATAAGTAACTATCAAGTATTTGAGTTTCTTAAAAAAAACAACACTAAAAAATACACAGAAAGATAATGTGCAGCTTTTTCCTGTGTGATCTTCAACTTTTCCTTTCTAGCTAATTTAAATATTGATTAAATATGCATGTTTTACATGTCTTTTGGGCAAAAACCTGCTTATCTCAACATCACCCCTGAAATTTCCCGAGAAGTTGCCTCCTTTGTTTCCAAGCTCCTCTCCTCTATTTCCTTTTTGATGGTTTAGAACAGTCTTCTCAACGCTTTCCCCCTATTTAGTCTAAGTGCCATTTGCTTCTAAACTGAACAAGAAGCTTGCATTGAGCTGTTTCCTTCTCCCTGCTAGTCCTGGCTAGCACTGCAGTACCATCCAGCCCTTCCTGAAGACAGACAAGCTCACCGTGAATGCAGTTGCTTATTTGTAAAAATGCATCTGCCTTATAGAGAATGACATTAATTCAGTAAAAAATTATTCAAATATATTGACTTTTTATATATTGTGAAATTTTAATTCTGTTTAAACAGTCCTTATAGTGACATATAAAAATTTAAAGACTACTTCAGGTTAAAGAGAAATATATATTTGATCATTCTTGATTTGGAAAGGTTTATGGGGGAAAATAATATTTTCTCTCCCTACCTCTAGCCATGATAGTTAATATGGTTCCTAAGCACCCCTGTAACTACTGTGAGAATTAAGACAGAGAGATACTTTTCTTCACACATTTTATCCCACCTTGGAATCTTTTTAAAATACATGTAATTAACCAGTACATGAGCAGATATTTGAAAGTAATTTTCTGTGTGTGTTTAACTTGAATGCTCTCTTTCTTTTCACTACAGTCAAACTAACAGTCTCCTTTGGATTTCTATTTTGTTTCTAAGGAATAAGTCAGCAACCTGATCCTGGTTTCACTGGGGCTACCACACCCCAGAGCCCTCTGATGTCACCCCGAATGGCGCACACGCAGAGCCCCATGCTGCAGCAGACCCAGGCCAGCCCCGCCTATCAGGCCTCCTCTGATATGAACGGATGGGCACAGGGGTCTATGGGTGGGAACAGGTATGCTGTGTTTCTGTGTCTTTTTTATATAAATGATCACCAGGAGATCTTTCTGTAGACCACAAGTCTCTTTTCTGTGGTTTTCTTAACTCCTTTACACAAGCAAGCGATACCAAATAAACTGCTAAGTAACCCAGCTTGCTTTTCTAGGGCAGAAGTCCCAGAATTTGAAAAAGCTTAGTCTGAAGTCTTTTCCTTGGAAGTAAAAGGAGCCCCCTAAGAAGGTAGCACCCCGCCAGTGTATGAAACTGCTGAAGAAGGCAGTGCCTAGAAGCCATCCTTATCAGTGTGTGTGACAAGGGACAACCACAAAGCTTGTCCCGTACAGACATAAGAGTGGGCAACAGCCTTCCCGACCTTCCCAGTGCCGCGGCCGCCCCTGCAGCCTCAGTGAGCACTGCGGGCCCTGCTGTTTCTGACCTCAGCACCTGCTGGCTGTCCCACCCTGGGTTCTCTCCGCCTGGGTTTCTTCACTCTGAAGTAAATGCCGGAGGAGCAAGTGCTCCAAGCTGCCTGCCTGTTTGCGCTGGGCGCTGACATTGTCATCTTTTCATTGCATTCCAGCATGTTTTCACAGCAGTCCCCACCTCACTTTGGGCAGCAAGCAAACACCAGCATGTACAATAACAATATGAACATCAATGTATCCATGGCGACCAACACAGGTGGGATGAGCAACATGAACCAGATGACAGGACAGATCAGCATGACCTCAGTGACCTCCGTGCCTACGTCAGGGCTGTCCTCCATGGGTCCCGAGCAGGTGAGCACCCTGAGGAGCCGTGTCCTCCGATCATCACGTTTTGTCTATTTCTTCCTTTCAGTGAATCTCCCCTGGCACTCGGCATCTGCTGTCAGCTCCCACATTTATTTTGAGGAGTGTTTTTTCACCTATGTTAGTGCGATTATCAGGAATACTTGTTAATGACAAAATACACATCAAAGAATTTCTGACTGCTCAAGCATCTTTGAAAACATTTCTTAACTTTCTTGTCATTTAAATTTTTCTCTTTGATGAATTTAGCAACAGCTAAAATGAATCTCTGAACATGGAATGATGAATGTGCTTTCTAAATAGCTTTATTTGGATTTTTAGTTTAAGAACTGATTTTTTTTTTCTAAATATAAAACCAGATGAATCACAGGCCAAGCTACCTGCCATCCAATTAGCTTTAAATGATACTTCACTCCTGCAAGGAGGCTGATAGGGGTGACCCAAAGCTAGTTCTGTCATCTTTGGATGTGGATGCCATGATTTTCTTGTCAGTATTTTTTTAATGGTGCTGTTTTGTGTTGAATAACATTGAAACAGTTCTCCCACTCCAAAATGTACACCAGCTTCACTGGTGGGGAAGAGACTCAACGCATCTGGTATCTCAGGAGCCAGCCTGGGACTCAGAGAGCTGGGTAGGGCTGAGCCAGAGGTAAAGGTGTGGGTTAATCATTTTTAAATTGTGTTTATAGGAAATCTTATTTTTAAGGGCCACAAAATGCTTGGCATTCTACTTCCTCAGTCCATTCAAATTATAGATGTGGCAAGGACCCTGAATCGGATTTCAGTAAAAAATTATTTCACATTGGAGAAACTGAGACAGGGAAAGTTTAAACGACTTACCCAATAAGCCATTGACAGCACCATGAATTTCAGTTAGATCACAGTTGTGAGAAGGTGAAGATTAAGTTGGATTAGGTCTATTTCATTCTGAGGTTGGTAAACCACAATTTACTGAAAATTTACAGAATTTTGCAGTGCCTCGGTATTTTATTCTATAAGAAGATACTAATAAAAATTCGTAGTGGTGCATGAGATGTAGTGTTGATGTTGAGTTTTCTATAAAAATGGGCCACTAGTGGTTCCTGGTTTCCTTTCTAGGAGTAGCGAGGGCCGCTGAGATGGTCTAATCTAGTATGGGTCGTAGTCAACCTACCCAAGTGTAAGTGATGCATTTGTAATAGTCCCAATGGCTCTGAAACTTCTGCATGAATTTCAACCTTTCAGTTATCACAGTTATTTTTGGAAGCCCCCAAAACACAACTGCAGTGTGTGTCTGATGACAGAATCCTCCATCAGCATCTGTACGTTCACTTTGTCGTTTGTAAAAGACATGTCACAAATGCTAATGATCAGCTCACTTAGTCTTGGAGGAGTCCCCAAATTCAGCTCTGTTTTGGATATTCACACTGGCTCTGACTAATCTATAATTTGCCTGAGTAACCAAGGATATGAGGAGCCTTTCAGATGTCTTCGAAGTCCCAAATATGAGCCATTAGTCTAATTCAGCCCCCAAAATGAACATGAAATTATATGAAAATGTTTCTAATATGATCATCTCTATTGAATTTCTTTTTTTAAAATATTATTGATTTCAGAGAGGAAGGGAGAGGGAGAGAAAGATAGAAACATCAATGATGTGCTGAGACCGGTTTGGCTCAGTGGATGGAGCGTCGGCCTGCGGACTGAAAGGTCCCAGGTTCGATTCCGGTCAGGGGCATGTACCTGGGTTGTGGGCATATCTCCAGTAGGAGATGTGCAGGAGGCGGCTGATCGATGTTTCTCTCTCATCGATGTTTCTGACTCTCTATCTCTCTCCCTTCCTCTCTGTAAAAAATCAATAAAATATATTAAAAAAAAAAAAAAAAGAAACATCAATGATGAGAGACAATCATCGATCAGCTGCCTCCTGCACGCCCCCTACTGGGGATCGAGCCCACAGCCTGGGCATGTGCCCTTGACCAGAATCGAACCTGGGACCCTTCAGTCTGCAGGCCGATGCTCTATCCACTGAGCCAAACCAGCTAGGACTCTATTGAATTTCTATACAGAATACAAATAAAATTTAATTTGAAGGCAGCTAGTGTATTAACATGTATTTATTTTCATGTTTCTCCATACGATAGAGGACTACCATTTTTATATAGTCACCTTTCCCCATTATTTACTCCTCAATTCCAGCAAGAGGAAGGCTGGTGGGTGGTTGTCCCCACCACACTTCTGGACGTCCCACTAAAAATGCCTGTTGTCCTGTCTTGTTGCCCTCAGGTTAATGACCCTGCTCTGAGGGGAGGCAGCCTTTTCTCAAACCAGCTGCCTGGAATGGATATGATTAAGCAGGAGGGAGACGCATCACGGGTAAGAAACAGTGAAGAAATGTGCGAATTGGGTAAAGTGAGCATGAATGTTTTATAGACCAAAATTGGCAGAGTGATTGAAGATAGTTATAATGCTTGTGATTTTTTAAAAAATATCTTCTAATTTTATCTGACTTACAATGGTTCTGTGTAATTATCCCTTTAAGCTGATTTTAATTGAGCTGATGGTGATGTATGAATTAAGAACACCAATTTTGCCCTGGAATGATATTATAGCAAAGCAGAACATAACGTGGCAGTGAATTAGTCATAGTAGGGCAAACCATTGAATTTATGTTTGCTTACATGTTTGTCTATATTCCATTTTGTTTAGGCAACAATCTTGTGCATTATTTCCTTGTTACCTTGACAGTTGTTCTAAGGAGAGTAATATTACCATGTTCAACATCTAGTCTTGAAACAGTAGGCTAATTAGTGCTTAGAACCCAGTGCCTTGTGGGCCTAGCAGGGGCTTGGTTATGGGAAGGCTTTGTAACACTTGCCCTGGGGGGCTCTTAACACAAGGGATATATAAGCACTAGATACTCTCTTTTAAGTTAAAAATTCCCTCTCAATGGAGAAAATGTAGAATTGATGTTGAATTTCCAACAAAAAAAAATGAATCTTGGGTGGTTTTGTTGAGATTATCATTCAAGTTTAAAAAGCAGTCAGTGGATTTTAATGGCAGAGTGTGTGCGCTCGCCTGTGTGGCGTCTCTCGTTGAGAGAACAGTCACCTGGCACAGAGGCCTGTGGGTGGGAGTCTGGGGGATGTTACCTTCTATGTACCCCGATGCACAACTCGCCTAAATGGTGGACGTATTGGTATAGAAACTCAAGCAGAAAATGGAGCCTATTTCATATGGACCATGTGTTTAGAATAAATGTGCCATCGCATGAGGTTTGAAGTTGGCTGGCGCCTCCCAGATGCCAGTCCTACCTCCTGTGCACTGCGCCTCCCCAGGTGGGGCCCAGAGCTCAGGGGTGATTATGTGCAGAGTAGAGGCTTGGAGCCTGGGCTGCACCTCCCAGGAATGGCAACGTTATTGGTGATAAGGCTCCCGCAGAGGACAGCCAGCTGAGCCCAGAAGTGCCAGGGGCTGAACCTCTGAGCACATTGTGTCTGGGAGGGGGGCGGGGGGCGGGGACCGAGTCCATCAGGCCTCCCTCCTTCACTGGCCCACCACTTGGTGGGGTAAGGCTCCAGCAGCACTTCCTGGGCCAGGCCAGCAGCCAGTCCCCCCTCCTGTCTTCGACGACCCGGGGATTCACTTGTCTTGTCTCCCTCTGCCGCTGCATCACCTCCAAACAGAAAAGACTGGCCTGGTGAAGCAGAGCACTCGTTCTTCTTTAAAATCACAGGCGCACCAGCGGGTATCGAGCACTTACTGCACGCCCGTTCTCGCTGAGCTTTAAGTGACCTGTTTGAACCACACAAGTGTTGGCACGAGTACAGCCCGGCCATGGGTCCCGCAGCAGCAGGGAGTGAACCCGGCCGCCTGAGCTCCCTGTGCGCCCTTCGCCCTGTGTTCTGCTGCCCGCCTCGCAAATTTCCTCGGGGGTTTTAGACAGCTACACACTGGAGAAGGCCAGAGAGGAGCAGCGTATCTCCTTTCTGCTGCCATCCTGCAGGGAAGAGAACCCTTAGCTGAGCCCTTGGCCTCAGGCACCGGTTCTTAACCTTGGGGTGGGGAGGAACCTCTAAGAGAGGAAATGGCCTGTGGTCTCTAACGCATTTTCAGATGAGAAGAGTGAAGCTCAGGATTAGGTCATCTGTCCAAGGTCACACAGCTCTGAAGTGGTGGGTCAGATCATAGGAGCGGAGGGCCGCCCCAAGCAGCACCGGATAAAGGAGGGAAAGGCAGGGACGCCCAAGCTCCACTAATGGCAGAGCTGGCGCTGGGCGTGGTGGAGGGGCGAGCACTGGGCAGGGAGGGCCCCGAGAGCCCCGGTGCCTGATGGGCGCCCACTAAACCTTGAACAGAAGGGTTATCGTTAGGGTCACACAGGCGACTTCAGTAGTACAGGGGCGCTCGCCATCAGAGGTGCCTTCGGAACTGAGCGGGCCACTTGCACCCTCTCACTCTCTCTGTTTCTCCCAGTCCCCTCTTGAGTCAGGCTTACCCATCTGTCCTCTGTTTATGCTGAATATGAAGGCCAGAGAACAGTCTGTCACGGACACTCTTGTTTCCTTCAGAGAAGGCTGTGTACAGTATATCCCTTCTAATCCATGAGTAATAGCGACATCACTGCCTGTGTCACTGGCCGCTGATGTGGGTGCAGAGGGCTCAGTCACTTACCCCAGGTGCTGTGATGTGCTCTGTGCTGTTGCAAATCAAAGAACTTTTCTCAGAATTTTTATTGGTAATTGGGTTCTAATTGCTGAGCTAGAAACCACTGTGATTCATTATTAATTGAATCTGTGTTCCATTTATCTATAAATGGAGATTAAAATTATAGCTTCAAGCAGAGCTGGTATATACAGCTGTGGACTTACCCAAAAACTATGTAGAAAAGGACAGGTATTTTATTTTAACCAAAATGTATAGGACTTTTTATAGCATTCCTTTATATTTTCATATTTATACGTATTAAAATTGAGTTCACTGCCCAGTTTCATGGCTCTTGTATAAAGTATAGTTGTGATTACTTGTATTTACTAGTGTGATGGAAACTAGGATTCGCTTTGAGTTGGTGATGATGCTGATGTTGATGTTTACTGAGCATTTATTATGTCCCAGGAACTATTTAAACGCTCTGTGTACATCCTTTTGTTTAATTCCCACACAGCTCTAAGGTGTATTAGGTGCAGAAGGGTTCAGTGACTCCCCGCTCTTTGGCACAGCTCGGATGGCATGCCCCGCCCGCCACACCAGCGACACACGCTATCCACGCTCATGTTCTGCCACTAACCTGAGTCTGGCTCAGAGCCGCTTACTGATGTCGGTCCATGTTAAAGAACCCTGCCTTAACGTTCTGAAGGATATAAACCTTCTCCACTAGCATTTTTTCCCAGTTTAACTGGAATTTGAAGGATTTTTTTTTTATATTTCAGTCAGAACCTTCGAGTATTTGCATGCAAAATCATGTAGTGACACAAATTAGGGATAAACATTACAAGGAAAAGTGTACTGGGTGTTCTTCTAAAAGAGAAAATATAATTGGAGGTGTCCTGGGCTCACTTTTCAGGTTGGGGGTGGTGGGGGGGCGAACTGTGTAAGTGTCCAGGCAGGTAGCTCCACCTCTGGCTCCTAGAACACATGAGCTGGCCAGTTTCCCCAGATCGCTTTCCCAGGTGCTCTGGGGAAATCCATTGTTCTGGGTTGACTTCCTCCCTGATCTTACTTAAACTAGAGCATCGTTCATGGCCCTGATGTGCTAAAAGTCTGTGTCTCGATATCTAAATCCCAGGAGCAAGCGGCTGTTATATGTTCCCACAGCGACTAATGTTCCCCTCACATAACTCGGATCATGCCATTCTTTAATCGCCTTCCTGGCCCATTCAGCAGTGTTTTGATAGCAGTGCCAGAAATGGCTTGTTATGATTACATCCCCAGAACCTGGCACAGAGTAGGTACTCAATTAATATTTGCTAATGAAATATTAGCAAATAGTGAAAACTTGGGGGAGAGTGTATATAGTCAATAGCCAAAGAAAAAGCATTGACAGATATACTTTCACCAGCCAAAGAAACATCTGCACATGGTTCTCGCTCACTGCAGTAACAAGGATACAGCCCTGGGTATCCAGCCATTCAAATCGATTGTCAGCGCATAACCAACCAGAAACTAGCAAGAGTACCTGCGGAGCAAACACCATGGGTGATGTAGCTTGCCAGAGAGAACACACCCATGGAACCTGGGAGTATCTCGGTAGAAGAGTCAAGAGGGTCCTTTTAGCCCAGCCATTGTGGCTCAGGGATTGAGCCTTGACCTGTAAACCAGGTGGTCACGGTTTGATTCCTGGTCAGGGCACATGCCCGGGTTGCAGGCTTGATCCCCAGTAGGGGGTGTGCAGGAGGCAGCTGATCAATGATTCTCATCATTGATGTTTCTCCCTCTCTCCCCCTCTCCTTTTCACTTTGAAATCAATAAAAATATATTTTTAAAAGTAAATGTGAAAAAGAGAGAGAGAGACTTTTTATTTGATAGGAAGTGGGTTTGTACTGGCTGATGCTGAGGAAGGATGAAGAAAGTGGTGTCACTTCTGGGTCAGATGCTGTCGAAAGGCAGGGGCAGCTCAGCCACTGGGAGTCTCATCCCTCCTGAGCAGGTGGGAGAGATTGGGTCCAGCGAGGAGGTCCGTGCTGGGGCAACAGTATTCGGAAGGAGCAGCCGGAACCCGTTGCAGTGCCCTCAATAGCATGTGGGCTCTGCTGGCCTTTGCCAGCATCGTGTGTTCGCTGGGAGACAGCGCCATCTGTCTGCTTCTAAATCGGGTGCAACTCATCCAGAGGCAGCCTTTAGGGCTGACCTTGTGTAACGGCAAATATTTTGATGTTTTTGTGATGGGCTCTATGATGGGTTTACCACATATTCAGAGATCTTTCTGTTTTTCCGCAGAAATACTGCTGACACTGAAGGTAGCTGGCTGCTTCTTTCTTCAGCTGACTGGGCTCACTTGCTCACAACACTTCCTGGTCTGGGATGGAGAGCTGCGTCTATTTGTTTTGACCCCACCGGCCTGCCAGCCAGGTCTGCCCAGCGAGCTCAGCAGACGCGGGCCTGGCCCTGGGAGCGGCGGCTGCAAGAGGGGCTGCCTCTCTCTCTCTCTCTCTCTCTCTCTCTCTCTCTCTCTCTCTCTCTCTCTCTCTCCAGCCTGAAGCTTGTGTCCAGACAGTTGCTCAGTCTGTTCACTGCATTCACCTTAGTGCAACTTAGATCTCTCCTGCGAAGTAAATGTTGACAGGCAAAGTTCATACCCATGTCAGGTTGAATGTATTTAAATGTACGTATTTAAGGGAAACAACCGTGCTCTTGTTCTGTTCCTGTTTGGTTCCAGACACTGGTTTCTTGCTTTGTTTTCCCTGGCTAATCAGTCCTGTACAAAAGATTACGATTTCATTGGGGGGAAATAAAGGGTTTTTTTTAAAAAAAAAAAATCAAACTGCATTTGGGATAAAAGCAGGGCAGACACCATGGACAGCGCTGTATGGACAGAGATGCCCACAAAGTGAAGACCGTTATCTGCAGAAAGCTCTCAAGACCAAGTTGCGAAGAGTTTCCAGCTAATGAACAGATGAAAAGGCGCACGTGAGAGGGCTGTTCATGTAACAAGGACTTTTTCCTTTCTTTTATTTTTGTTAAAACCAAACAAGTTCATCTAAATCATTAATCAAGAAGAAATATTATTCATTTTCAAATTAAGTTCCCTTTCAATTGATCAGACAGCTTGGATTAGCATCTCCTCTTCCTCCCTGATCCTGACTCTTCCTTCCCCAGTCCCCACCCCCCCCACCCCCAACTTTCATTCATTTAACAAAACAATAAAAGCAACAGAAACCAGACAAGCCCCTTATTTCCTTAAATGTTTTGCCAGCCACTTAGCAATTGCTAACTTAAATTTCAGAAAAATGCATTTACTGGCAAGGAGAGGAGCAGAGTCAGCACGATCCCGATCCCACTGGCGACACCTGCTCCCAAAGCGTGTCTGTCCTGGTCCCCAGTGACACAGACCCACACACAGGCCGTCCAGGCGTGTTTTACGCTGAAGCAGCAGAGACACGCTAGGGTCACCTCCGCCATGAGTTTTTTATTTTGTTTTTTAGCAGTGCTAAGCCGAAGTTTTGTAAGGTACATAAAATCCAATTTATATGTAAACAAGCAATAATTTAAGTTGAGAACGTGTTTTAATTGTATAATTTTTGTGAGGTATACATATTGTGGAATTAACTCAAAAATGAGGTACTTCAGTATTAAATTAGATATCTTCATAGCAATGTCTCCTAAAGGTGTTTTGTAAAGGATATCAATGCCTTGATTAGACCTAATTTGTAGACTTAAGACTTTATTTTCTAAACCTTGTGATTCTGCTCATAAATAATTTATCCAATCTATATGATATGCAGCCGCCATAGGACCCAGATCTTGATTTTTATATGTTTATATTCTTTCTTAATGAACCTTGGGAAGACCACCTGTGGTGAGCAGGCCACTTTCGTGGTTGTTTCTCTCACCCACGCGGGAAGGGGAATAATCTTTTATTAATTGGTGTCAGTTTCAGACAAATGCAATACCAAGAAACTGATCACCTTTTTTGAGCTATTTCTCCCCAACCCCTAAGACTTTCTTACCTAAATTTCAGAATGGTGTCTTTTTGATGTCTAAAAAGCAAAGCATTTTATATCTCACTAAGCCAGGCTTTTTAGGAACAGAGAGGTTTTTCCTTGAAATTTGATTGATTGTTTGTTTGTGGCCGGGTGGACAATGGACAAACTACCCCTATTTATATGTATATCTCTCCCTATACGTACAAGTGACGGATTATAGAGAGAGATATACCGGTAGCCCAAAGATAAATGGTAAGTAGACAGTCTGAAGGTGTTGCTCCATACTAAAGAAATTTTCTGGAAATTTGCATTTCGATACTTTTTTCCACTTGAGAGGGGTCTCACTACAGGGAGGTGGCCCAGAACAGCACTTCTCGGGGCCATCAGTCCACATGCCCCCTCACCAGGCTCTACTCTTCTCAACCAAACCCTGGGTTGCCCAACTGCGATGGATAAAACGAGCAGACGTTGGCCCAGAACTCCGTGACCGAATCCGTGTGCCAAGGCTTATGTCCTACACGATGTCATGTGACCAGTTTTAAGTTGCTTTTTAGAAACATGTGACTTAGAATGACTTTAACTTCACACAGCACAAAGGAGAAATGGAGTTTAAGCTGGATTTGTTTTGTTTTGAGTTTTAAGTCCCCTTTCACTGTAACACGTCCAAAAAATTTTTTTAAAAATCTGTGTATCTTTTACTGTTTACCCATCTGCCCACTGTGTTTTAATGTCAACCCCAAGTCAGATAAATCTGTAAACCAGTGAAGCTGGTAATTTCGAATAATTCACGGCTGTTTTGAAGGAAAAGAGGTTATAAATTCTCTTATGGCTCTGATCAGGGAATGAATGGGTTTTGCTTTACATCTAATTAAGAGAAGAAAAGTAAGTGAAGGAATCCTCTGATCATATTGATCACTGTGGAAGCAAAAGCCAAATCGACCCCCTTCGTTATCAGTATTTCTCATGCTGTACACAGTAAATTTGTTAGACTGAGTCCTTGGTTTTTGTTTAATAGGACAAAGAATCAGTGTTTTACTTTTATTACTAAATGTGAAAAACAAATAATGTGAAAAGTATACATACATTCACTTGGTTGTAAGACTCATTTAAGTGTTCATGTAATGTGGTGAGTTGGAAAGTGAAGTGAGCTCTTTGACTACAATGAATTTGTTTGACTCAAAGATTAAAATGTCCCTTCCCACGTGTATCTCCTATGGCCTGTAATAATTGAAAGCAATGTTTTTGCAGTTTATATAATGCAATTTTTAATCTGTGTTTAAAAATGGAGTTCATATGGGCTGACCACATGAAATGGGTGGCCCACATCCACTGTAGAACCCAAAGATACACAATCAATTTTGAAATGCAACTTAAGCCATTAATTGTTGGTGTGAATTTAAAATTTTCTAGTATTTGTATGGTAGTGTGCTGCCTAAGAGCAAAGCATTCTCTGCACAAAAGAAAATTACTGTAGTGGCTTCAATTTTAATTAGAATTTTCTCCCTGGTGTTTCTTTATAGACTAAAACAAAATCTTTTAAGTTTCTTACTACAGGTAAAAGCTATGTGCAAGAACCTCAAAATGCTAAAATCTAGCATAATGCCTTAGATCTGTTTTTAAGTCTTGTATATTCCTACATAGCTGTCCGATGTATTATATTTGTATAGTGAATTGTGTACAATTTTTTGAATAAGTACATCATCACTCAACCTTTACGTTGTTGGATGGTGATGATGATACATTTCTTCAAACATTTAACTGTCTTTTTTTCCCTTTGTCATTTGTGGGTTTTATTTGTACAGTTCCTCATGAAGTTGCATCTGAGATGTGTGTATATGAAAAGATTATACAAGGGTAAAATTAAGCAATATATTAACTATGGTTCTTCAGGAGAAAGCTTACAGTGTTTCAGGTTGTGGTTTATTTTCCAAATGGAGTTGACTCTGAACATCACCTTGTTCACCTGCATCGATGTTTGTATTTCTCGTGTGAGCAGTTTATGCAAAGGTAGATATATTCAGAGAAATTTTAAATACATTTATGCAAGTTAATATTGCTTTGCTGATGCTCTTTGCTTATTTGATGTTAAATAATGCTATTGTAAATAAAGAATTCTGTTGTTATTGCATCATTTAATAAATTTTAATGCCTTCGGGTTTTACATGGCTTTGGAGAGTGTAATGTGTTTATATTGTACCTTCATTCATAAATGCATTTAAATTTATATTACCTGACTTGCAATTTAATAATGGCTTATATTTATGCAGGAGTGAACACTGTGTTCAGCATGTTAACATTTGATTCTCTCAGCAACCCATTTTATAGATTTTTCATTTGAAGCCAAGTAGGGTGGTTTTTTTAAAATATATTTTTATTGATTTCAGAGAGGGAGAGAGAGAAAGAGAGAAACATCAGTGATGAGAGAGAATCATCGATCAGCGGCCTCCTGCACTCCCCACACTGGGGGTTGAGCCTGCAACCCGAGCATGTGCCCTGACCAGGAATCAAACCCATGACCTTCTGGTTCACAGGCCCACACTCAACCACTGAGCCACACTGGCCGGGTAATGATAGTTTTAATGGATTGGTTTGTTTGATAGTTGATAAACAATGTAGGTACAATACCTAAAACCCAGGTATACCAAAAGCAAAATGAGTGGTTAGAAAACTGTCAATACTGTTGACTACATTAACAAGTTGAAGGAAAAGATGCCATGTGATAACTTTGCATAGAATAAACTTCACCCATTTATGAGGAAATCTCAAGGAAAAATGAAACTTCTAGGAAAAGTAAATGTTCTAAAGTTATTTGAGTTTTCAGATAAGATGCAATCCCACTGTGATAACATTTTACTTAACAGTGAAATACTAAAAGTATTAACTAGAACAAAACAAGGAAGCCCACTACCAATGCTGAGAACTGGGGTGTTATCACCTGAAGAGGAGAGGGGAGACATTCAGCCAATTTGACCATCTTTAAGGAAAATCCACATGATCAACTGACTAGCTCTTGGAATGAATCAAAGCTCAGTGAGATGGATAGAACATTCAAAAAAACCAATAACTGTCCACACTAAAAAAACCATTTTTTAAATCCCCACTTACCATAACAACATAATACAAAGCTTATAAAAGAGGATTGTACCTAACACAAAGTATGAAAGATCTTTGTGTAGAAAACTATAGTTTTACCAAAAGACATAGAAAACCTGAAAAGAAAAAAAAAATGGACACAGGCCAGGAACCGAGAAAAGAAAAACCTAGTATTATAAAACCATCAACTCCTCCCAAAGCAATCCAAAAAGTAAAATGGATTTGCAAGATATGATGTACAATAATAGAAATTGTGGTCTGGCCAGCATGGCTCAGTGGTTGAGTGTGGACTTATGAACTAGGAGGTCACGGTTCGATTCCAGGTCAAGGGCACATACCCGGATTGCAGGCTCAATCCCCAGTGTGGGACATGCAGGAGGCAGCCGATCAGTGATTCTCATTATTGATGTTTTTGCCTTCCTCTCTGAAATCAATAAAAAATAAATTTGAAAAAAAAAATTGTAAAAGGGGAAAGAAGATGTGGGAGGGACTTTTATTGATCAGTATTGTAAAATATTTATACAGAAATGGATAAATACATCAGAAGAACAGAATGGAACCAGAGACAGAATGCCATCTGTAGGTAAATTTAACATATGGTGAGAGATGGCATTTCTAATCTTTTTTAAATGGCATTAGACAATTGGCCACATTTGGAGAAGATACCATTTTAACTTCCTGTCTCTCAAGACTAACAAATTCCAAATGCATCAGTGTTATCAACAATGAAATGTAAAAATAGAAGAATATGCTTACATCATTGGAAAATTGAACGTTCTTTAAAAGACAAGTTATTAAGAAAAGGATAAATTTATAAAAGTTGAATATTCTACCAACAAAGTGAAATCAAAAAACAGCAAACAATGTTTTGAGCATCCTTTGTAATGTCCCGGTATTATTCCACTTATTGCATATTTAAACTTTTTTTTCTTTCCTAGCTTATGCTTTTATTTTGGTGGCTTTTTTTTCTTTTCTAACTTCTTGACAATTATATGAAGAGTTCATCAATTTTCAAGCTTTATTTTCTAATACATGTATTTCAAGGTTATAAATTTTTTCGTTTACTACTTTTAGCAGCATCCCAATAAGTAAGATCTCCAGTGATGGCTCTGGGTTTTCTTCTCTTAGTTCAGCGGTTCTCAACCTGTGTGTCGCGACCCCTTTCGGGGTCGAACGACCCTTTCACAGGGGTCGCCTAAGACCATCGGAAAACATATATAATTACATATTGTTTTTGTGATTAATCACTATGCTTTAATTATGTTCAATTTGTAACAATGAAAATACATCCTGCATATCAGATACTCACATTATGATTCATAACAGTAGCAAAATTACAGTTATGAAGTAGCAATGAAAATAATTTTCTGATTTGGGGTCACCACAACATGAGGAACTGTATTAAAGGGTCGCGGCATTAGGAAGGTTGAGAACCACTGTCTTAGTTCCATCGATTTTTGCTTATGGTATTCACAAGTGCTGTTACTAGGAACATACACATTTACCCAAATGAACTGAACCTTTTATTGTATACTGCCCATTTTACCTCTGGTAATCCTCTTTTTATATCTTTATTCATCCTTTTACTTTTCAACCTTAGAAGCAGCATGTGAGTAGTTCCTTACAAATTTTTTTACCTAGTAAGAGAAAAGTGTTAGATCTTCAACGATGGTTGTATATTTGTCTCGTCTTTATATCATCTTTGCTTTTGCATTCTGTAACTTTATTATTAGGGACATATATATATAGCAGTTATAAGTCCTTTTGATGAGCTGACCCTTTACTCATTTGATCAGAGATGAGAAACAGGCGGCATGAAGTGTAAGAACCTTGGGGAAGAGCCTGGTTTCAGTTGGTTGGGTGACTTCCCACACATGGAATGTGCTAGTTCGATTTCCAGTCAGGGCACAAGCCCAGATTTCAGGCTTGCTCCCTGGTAGGGGGCATGTGGGAGGCAGCTGATCAATGTTTTGCTCTCACATCAATGTTTCTCTCTCTCTCTCTCTCTCTCTCTAAAAATCAATTTTAAAAGTTCTATTTAAAAAAATAATAATCTGGAGGGAAGGCTGCTTCAGTAGAAGGAATAGCAAATGCAAAAGCTGTGAAGCAGACCAGCTTTGGTGCCTGAAGGTCAGTGTGGCTGGAGATGACTGACAGGGCGAGTGGTGGGACCGAGAAGTAGGCAAGGGCCGGACCACGTAAGATCTTGCAGCCAAGGCAAGGGATTTGGAGACAAACAAAAGTAGGTTCTTGAAGGGAACAGAATGGAAACACCTGGGAAGATTTACTGCTTTTACTTGGGATTATAAACAAGGTTTGTGTCCTAGCCGACTTGGCTCAGTGAATAGAGCGTCAGCCTGCGGACTGAAGGGTCCCAGGTTCGATTCTGGCCCAGGGCACATGCCTGGTTTGTGGGCTTGTTCCCCAGTAGGGGGTGTGCAAGAGGCAGCCAATCAATGGTTCTCTCTCATCATTGATGTTTCTCTCTCTCCTTCCCCCTTCCTCTCTGAAATCAATAAAGAAATACATTTTTTTAAAAAAAAAAACAAGGTTTGTGTCACCCTAAAATGTTTATGTTAAAACCTAATCTGGCCCTAGCCGGTTTGGCTCTGTAGATAGAGCGTCAGCCTGTGGACTGAAGGGCCCCGGGGTTCGATTCCCGGTCAGGGCACATGCCCAAGTTGTGGGCTCCACCCCAGTAGGGGGCATGCAGAAGGCAGCCAATCAATGACTCTCTCTCATCATTGATGTTTCTATCTCCCTCTCCCCTCCTCTCTAAAATAAAAAATGTATTTTTAAAAAACACCTAATCTGCAATGTGATGCTACTTGGAGGTGAGCATTTGGGGGTGATTAGGTCCTGAGTAGAGCCCTCGTGAATAGGATTGATGCCCTTATAACAGACCCAGAGAGCTCCTTTGCCCCTCCCTCCATGTGAGGATGCAGGAGAAGATGGCCAGCTGTGAATTAGGAAGTGCATTCTTTTTTTTTTTTAAATATATTTTATTGATTTTTTACAGAGAGGAAGGGCGAGGGATAGAGAGTTTGAAACATCGATGAGAGAGAAACATCGATCAGCTGCCTCCTGCACATCTCCTACTGGGGATGTGCCCGCAACCCAGGTACATGCCCTTGACCGGAATCGAACCTGGGACCCTTCAGTCCGCAGGCCGATGCTCTATCCACTGAGCCAAACTGGTTTCGGCAGGAAGTGCATTCTTACCAGACATCAAATCTGCTGCTTCTTGACCTTGGACTGCCCAGCCTCCGACACTGAGAAATACATATTGTTTTTAGACACCCAGGCTATGGTATTCGGTTATAGCAGCCGGAACAGACTAGGACACCTAACTTCATTAGGGAACCATAAGGTGAGTCACAAATGGCAACAGGCTGACCATATTTCACACACACACACCAAAAACAACAAAAACCCTCTGGAACAATTTCTAATAGGCTTGAACAAATAACTGAACAAACTTTTATCCACAGTTTCTTCCCAAAGACTGACAAACACTCATGCAACAGCACCACTAAAGTAATAAGAGGGAAGAATGGACGAGGAGGTCAGCACGCACTTGGTTTAAACATAATAGTGAAATATTATAATAAAAAGGAACTTCAGGTTTAAAAACAAGGAAACCAAGGCTAGATTTGCAAGAGTAAAAGTCCTGGACTTATTTACCAGATGGGTTTTATGTTGGTTATTGACCTAGTTCCTCTCGGCCCCGAATTCACTCCTTTTGAGCGCTTTGTGTAAAAAGGAGTCCGAGTCCTTTAAGGAAGTTGCCAGCTGGCGTTGCAGCTGTGTCAGTAGAGGGCGCTGGAGAGACGTTGCAGGAGGCAGGAGTTACGCTTCCTGGTCCTGGTGTCATCTCAGCTGGATCCTGCAGGGGGCGAGGCTGAGCCAGGGCCCTGCGGCCGTCCTGCACAGCAGCCAGCAACCCTCAGCAGCTCCGCAGGTGGCTCTGTGGCCGGGTGCCTCCAGGGGGACATCGCTGGGAGCAGCTTTCCCCAGCGCGAGAGGGCTGCCTTCGGCCAGTCCCCGCAGCGTGGCACCACAGCAACCTGCCTG